GAATAGATCCTATTCATATATATATTATATATATATATATATATATATATATATATATATATATTGGCACATATACAAAGGTAACTTATATAGAAAAATATATATTGCTTTAAACAAACCAATTATGTTATCGTGTCAAATATAAGTTGTAAGAATATTAAGCATGCCACTTGACACATACCCAATAGTGTAGAAACATAGCACATATTATTTAAAGTTAATTATTTCTATTAATTGTCGAAAAATTACATTATATTTTTAATTGATATTGCCAGCAATAAATTTTGCCGAATTTGATTTCCAGCCAATGATCAAGTTGCAGTCCTATAAAAATGCAGACTTATTGCACATTTATAAATCGGGGCAATCTCATATAATAATCGATGTTATGATTAAACATATTAATTGTTGTTTTTATTAATATCGCCATACAGACATCACATAGTTCCATCAATAAAAGGCAGTGAAAATAACTTCGAAATCACGTAGGCCTACATCGCATAATTGCATGATTCCATTGTTGTTCACATATTTCGGTGAATCATAAACTCAAAGCACATCGATTCTTTACTCTTCAGTTTACAATATATCCTATTTACGAAAGTGAATTCAGTGTAACGAGTTTCAGTTCCGTAAATGCTCGCCATATAGATTGGCTTTCCCCTTATTATACAAATCCAATTAAAATGTTTTCATCAGACTCTTTTGAATGTCAATTCAGATGACTTGCGGTGCCATAAAACATGATATAGTATACTCACTCCACAACAAGCGCTGCTTAAAGAGGCGTTCTCGAAAGATTCGGGCACACAGTATTTCCAACAGTTGAGTTTTAGTTTGTGCGCACAGACACCAATTCATTATAACTCATTACTCAGGGTGTTTAAATTTTAAGGGGCATGAATACAAGCACAGATGTAGGTCCTGGACCTATACACGAAAACCTGAGATTGTATTTTGAGCAAATTTAGAGCTTTATATACCATAGGGGCTCAATATTTTGAATATCCCATTGGCCATATAATATTTTAAAATATAATATAAAAAAAGTAAAATTCTTCGTCATCTATTGATAGTTCTAATTTCTTTTGATAATTTTTAACATTTTGTTACCTATATATCTTGTTATGACAAGAATAAGTATAGATGCATTTCAGTGGAAAAAAAACATGTAAAATAGGTCAATAAATATGTATATAAACATATAGGCCTATATACAACATAGCCTTATAGGATTTTTTAAATAAATACAAATAAAAGCATTGACGTCATAGTACTCAGACAGAAAACAACAGGATTTAACAAAAACAAATCTAAAAATAACACAGCCGTTGTTGCATTACGGAGGAAATTGACATACATTTACCCAATAAATCATAAAGCATGAAGGCGTAGTAGGTGTACGTTTAAATCGTAGGGGCGCAGCAGACCTGGTTGACCTTTTCTATTGTACCTGTTTAGAAGAACATTGTCCAAATAATGGAGCTCTAAATAGCTCTATATTTCAAGGTTCCAAACGAAGCAAAGCAGGCATGATGGGAGAGCAGCTTAGCTTAGTCGGGTGAGAACAACTTAGCTCAGTCGGCTAAACTGGTGGTTACTACTGTATGTGCGCTGAACCGCGGAGATCTCTTTGGGGGTCCCCTGGTTCAATTACCATCGCTCCTATCCTTTCATAATAGCCCACCGTCTTTCGATTGAGAAGTTTAAGCCGTTGGTCCCATCATGGAGGTTTACCACCGTGGTCCCATGTGCTATATGGCCCATGTGCTCGTTAAAAAACGCAGTACTCTCTTCGGAAGAAGTAGGGGATTGTCTCCCAGACGCACTGCTCAATCACCACCAGACAGTTGTAGAATATTCAACAACCAAAGGAAGGCCTTCACAGAATTATCCGTTTTTATTTAATCAGTCAGTGACGGAAGGAGCAACTGAAAATTAATCAAACCCTCAAAATTTACTCATTCTCTTAGCTTTCTACTACATCACGCCCCTCGGTCATTTCCTCCTCTCCATCTTATTTCACCACGCCAGACACATCAAAAACCACTTCAGATCCAGATAATAGATTTGAACCTGAATTTGTTTAGTAAAATTTAACTTTAATGTAATTGGATACTTAAAAATAATGCTGGCCTATAATGGAGTATCAATCAAATTAACAAATGCCCAATGAGAACGTCTTATTTAGGATCAGGAATACGCATTCGAGATAGAATATATATCTGATGGGAACATTCTCCGCAATCTCTCGCTACGCCGTCTATCGCTCTCCGGAAGCAGAGGTGGATTCGTCGTGCGACGGTCGTACGGACCGTCGTATGACGCAGTGAGTGCCCGGCTTTAGATGCGGGCGTATTATATTGGTCTCCTATTTGCAGTGCTCCGAGAACTAGCGCTGTTCCAATAGGTATGTCAAAAAGAGCGTGAAATTAATTTGCTTCCATTCAGATTCGAATTCCCAAAAGAGCCCCAGTGGCATAGTTGGTTAAGACGTCGATATTGTATAAACAGCGGTTCAAGAAACTTTTTCTTACTGGCAGTTTCATTTTCTTTAAAGTTCACAATATATACATACATTAGGCCTATGTATAAAATTAATGTACTTCATAACATCCATTCAGACTGAGTAGATCAGAATTTACACATGCTTTAATCCACTCTTTTGATTAGCACGTAATGTATGGGGTATCAGGGGCGGATCAAAAGTTGTCCGAAAAGGGGGAGGGGTGGATCAATAATTTATCTTTCTTTCTCTCTTTCTTTTTTTTTTTAACTTAACGAAATGTCGACCGCCCCCCCCGCCCCCCCCCCCCCCCACAGCAAAGTCGTTCCTGGATATGCTACCTTTTAAATTTCGAAATAGCGTACTAGATTAACCTCGATGAAGCAGTTGAGTATGGAAGCTTATTAGTAGTAAAAATAACAAATCTGTAATTCTATCGCGCCTAATATTAACAACCTCGAGCAGTTTTACAAAAAACAACCGCTATTGTTACACCAGTTTTAAAAGAATTCCTAATTTTGATTGGATGTTATTGTACAATCATGAAACCAGAATTAGGAATTCGTTTAGGACTGGTGTTAAAATAGCCACTGCATAATAATAATAGAGCCTAATAATAATAATAATAATAATAATAATAATAATAATAATAATAATAATAATAATAATAACAATAATAATAGACTAATATAATTAATAATAATACAGGTATGATATTATATGATATAATAAAAATATTAATAATAATAATAAATAATAATAATAATAATAATAATAATAATAATAATAATATCAAACAACTATAACCTAATAAAATCAAACAACTGTAACCTATAACTATAGTAGCCCAATTAATAGGATTATATAGGCCGAATGTAGTATTATATTTGTATCCGGTATAGTGATAAAACTGAGCAGATGTTTGGACAATTAATAGCGGATCGTTTAATCCAGTAAGTTGCATTTCAACTAAGCGGCTATAATCGTCCCAAGACTATTTGTGTAGCGATTAATATCAAGGGGTGGGCTTGCATGGCCTGTAAGCCTTCACAATTATGTAATTTTATAATGAACTATAACTATGAAAATGGTGTAGAAAAATGATTTATTTATTTACTTTTATGGTTACTTTTTCATTTTTTTCTATGTGTCTGTTTTTTGCTCGAACCACTCCGTGTTCTCACAGTGCAACCATTTACAATCATTAATACGTTGTTATTGTTATTTTTCAAAAACCAACACAACACAGTCACGACCAAAAGACATTAGAATGTCAAGATCGATGTCCGTCGAATTTAACGGTCATTCGCTGCTACTAATATTTCCATAGCTACTGCTCATATCATTATTACTGCCATTAACGTTCAAACACATGTAATGCCTCAATTTTTACTATCTTTAAAAAAAAAATAAGCAACTAATTACAGGACTTGTTTAGAATACTAGACTGCATTTAATATACGATGCGCAATATTGGTCAAACCATTCAAAATGACATTAATTATTCCCCCACCCCCTCGGGCATGGATACGATTCTGCCAAACTTGCCAAAACATTATAATTAGATTTCATTGTATAACATCAGCCTGGGGGCATTCTGTGTAAGATGAGAACGTTTCTCCAGTGTGAACTTATTATGTAAAGGTTTCTTGAATTAGCTATCTGTAATAACTAAAATTCTCGTGAAATCGGTAATTGGGATCGTAATCCGGCTCTTTTTCCCCCTTGCAAACATTTGTTGTAAAACCGTACCGTGATGTGAAAGACCAATTGGTGAACCGCAATCGCCATGATATTGAAATGTAAACATACTTTAGTTGTCCATCTTGTGATTGGCTGTTATGCAGCGCGTGGCCTTGACGCGTGTGCGGGTTTACCTGTGAATATGTCGCGCGCTACACTAGTCAGTCGTCGACATCGTATTCCTAAACCAATAAACATGCACTGAAAGGTATCCAGCATGTTTATTGGCCTTCTAAGCAACAACACAATTGTTAATTAATACATCAATGTTTTATTAGAATGTTTGTTCGCGCTCTAAATGGACTGAATGAAATGGTGTATATTTACATACCGATTTATTCAGAATTCATTTTATAACGAAAAAGGTTGCAAAGTATACATGATCTGGATTTTGAAAAGTATTCTGTATAAGAAAATACTCATAATACAATAATTCATAATACAATTTATTTAAATGTATTGTTTCATAATAACAGGATAAACTATCAATCATATCATTGAAATAAGTCAAAAAGTAATTAATCTATAAATTAATTATTACTTAAGTAATAATTATGTACTAACTAAACTTGTATTGAACAAATAAATACATATATAAAGCAACCTATCACCTTATTTATCATTTAATTAAAATATCTAATTCATTAAACAGATTTATTATGAAACAATAAATCTGTTTAATGAATTAAACAATAAATCTGTTTAATTCATTAAACAGATTTATTGTTTCATAATAAGCAGGATGAACTATTTATGAAACTACATATTAAGCAATCATTATCCTCATCTAAATAATTTTTTTAATTAATCTATAAATTAATTATTACTAAAGTAATAATTATGTACTAACTAAACTTGTATTGAACAAATAAATACATATATAAAGCGACCTATCACCTTATTTATCATTTAATTAAAATATCTAATTCATTAAACAGATTTTTTGTTTCATAATAAGCAGGATGAACTATTTATAAGACTATATATTAAGCAATCATTATCCTCATCTAAATAATTGTTTAAATTAATCTATAAATTAATTATTACTAAAGTAATAATTATGTACTAACTAAACTTTTATAAAAACAAAATATGTTTTACAATAAACTAGGACAAATATCAATTAAGCGACCTATCATCTTATTTATCATATAATTAAAATATCTAATTCATAATACAAATTAGATTTATTGTTTCATAATAAGCAGGATAAACTATCTATAAAACTATATATGAAGCAATCATTATCCTCATCTAAATAATTTTGAAAATTTTGGGAGAATCAACTATTTGTTTCATAATTTTTTAAACAGTACAAAACAACTCTGTTCTGTAAAGAGTAAATAATACAATTATGATTTTTGATATTTTGTGTTAATTAGTTTGTATTTTTCATAAAATAATACACACACTGTTAACCCCATTCTCTAGTGTATGTTTTTACTCTTGTGAATTTGGTTTTTTCAATATGGTTGGCTCCTATATAGATTATAAACCTCTCAAATATTAGGTAGTCATAATTATTCAAGTGTGTGTTATTTTCTGCAACAAGAGGATGCATGATATTATTGGTCATTGCACTTTCAGCAGCATATTTTTTATCTATAAAAACAGAATGTGTAAATATTAGATATGTAAGCATTGAATAATGAAAAACCAACGGCATATAATAAGCAGTACTGTGTGTTTTCAATGACGACGTCTTCATAGTTCTACATGAGGATTGTGAGCCAGAATTGTAATTCGCGTTAGTTGTGAACGGAATTTGCCTTCAGCATGGTAAACTGAAAGATAATTCAAAGATGTTATTAGGATGTGGTTCATGTAAGCAATTGAATGCAAATTGGTTATTTTTTTTTTATGTTCATTGTTATCCTGGAGAGTAATCAGTGCAAAAGCAATCTTTTGTTTTCAGTTCTCAGAACATTTTAAAATAACAAGATATCCTGTGTTAAAATATAAATCGGATGTCAAAGTAACTAAACTAAACCAGTGTAAAAAATAATGATAAATCAGAGCTAGTGTTGAAAAAAAAAACAAACACAGATTTAGTAAAAAAAAATGAAGAATGAAGAAAAGGCCAGTGAATTTTCAGACTACGTACCCTGCATTATTTTATATCGGTCAAGAATATTTTATGCAATTTACAATAATTTTTTGTTGAACGTAGCTGTAACTAGTTTCAAAGGCTTTAGAAAATGTAAATTGCATTACCATAACAATTTAATTATCAGTCTAACAATAATAAAAATAAGTACTAATATATCATTTTTTAAAAGGCACATCTCAAAGAAGATGATCACAGAAACATAGGAAAATCAGATAGAGAGAAGAAAAACAAATATGAGCACAAACAAAAGCTTGTCCACTGTCACAAAAACACTAGATTGCATGCAACATTAATTTAATCTAATTCATAAAACATCCAGCTTTCAATCTAGTAAAAATTTAATATCATACTGCACTAAAAAAATATATCATCATTGAAAAAAAAAAATACATATCAGTAATTCAAAATTTTATAAGCAATCTTATACTACTTAAAGTTCTACTTCAAACTCATTAGTTTTTCTTTCATCAGATAATAAATTACATAAGCATAGTAATTCTGTAATGAAATAGTGAACTGCTAATATAAACATTAATTCAAAGAAATCCGTTGCTATTTCTCAGGAACATAATCAAGTATAATTCCAAGAAATGTTATTTGAGATTTAAAAAAAAATTTTTTTTTATTCTTTATATTTTATATTCTATAATATCCAACAAGCAAGTACTATCCTTCTGCAGTTAATTGTTTTACATCGCCTTGCTCGAATAGTGGAACTTTTACCCCAGTGCCATCTGGTGGATCAGAGCGTATATGTACTGTACTAACTAACTGTGCTTTATAGGGAGTGCACCTGTTTTTATTCACTGGAACAAAAATTTTGACATGCACTGGATTTGAACCCAGGCATTTTACATAGGAAAATTGGTACTTCAACCAAAAATGTACAGCTGCCCTCTACTACCACTACCAGTATTCTTTGCATTCTTTATGCATTCATCATTTTACAAGAACTTTAAAGCTGCAATTTATGTATAAAGTAGCCCATAAATGAAATTCTATAAATTTTAAAATCTGGTTGTTAAACAAAGTGCCATAAGCATTGTTTGTTGGTGATACCAACGGTATATAAATGCACATTATTATTGTTAGATAAATTTATGAGAAAAATGTCTTATTCCCATCGGCATCCATACTTTACATGCCATGTTTATGTTGACGAAAAACGTTCCCTAAGAAAATAAGTCATTATTGTTATAGAGATCTGCATTGAGGTAAGTGAACGGGTAAACATGCATCTGAAATTATCCTAAGGTTAGATACATGTAGAAAAATGATTAATGAGTGAAGACATATTGTAACTGTAGGTCATTTCATAGTGAGACAGAAGAATGAAGATTAGAAAAATCGTGGTGTATTACGGGAAAAAGTCTTGCGCTTACAGTATCATCAATCAATTTACAACCTCTTGCAAAATATAAAATGTAATATACTTATTACTCAGCCTCAGTAGTAATAGAAAATGTAAAGGTAATTCAAACCCATCTGCACAAATATCATGACAAAAATTTAGTATAATAATTGTAAAACAAAAGCAAAATAAATATAATAATAAATAAAATAAAGTGTTTCTAAATGCAACTGTGATTGGGCAACCTATTACTGTATTATTAATTAATTTAAAATGATAATTAAAAGTTATGATAACAATATGATGGTTGAGACCTAGTGGTTTAGATTACCTTGATTTTTGGTTTCATCAATAATATATTCTTCACTACGTAATTCTGTTCCAGCATCCCCCTGGAAACAAAAATATTATAGAGTATGTTGTTAAATATAATGCATACTTATCATTTTCTATTAATCAAATATGTAGATTTATAAGCCATTTTTATACAATAACTGTTATAATATAATACTTGTTATTATCATTATCATTATTATTATTATTAATAAAAATGACAATAATAATAGATAATACCACAATATATAAATAATGTTTTGAAAAAGTTATCTTCATATTTGTTATATAAATATATATATTTATATATGTATGTATGTATATATATATATATATATATATATATATATTAGATATAAGAGACAGATATAATGAATATCATGCCCTTTCTAAAATTGTAATAATTAATACTAATAATCTGCATTTTTATTGTCAAAGCTTCTATGTGGTTTACATGAACATCAATGTTATAATATGAGCTCCAATAAAAAAAATACTAGATAACAGAAAATCCATGTACATGTATTGTCTTTGTAAATACCGTACAATAAAACGTCAGTGAACATATTTATTGAGAAGACAGATACAAACTGGTTTGAGCAACCTACATAAAATGTATGCCACACTATTTATACAATATTATACAGCTTAGAATGTTTGCTTCTAACGCACACTCAGGCCCCTGGGAAATGATTCTGCACGCTGCAGCTAGCCATCAATACATTAGCATGGTAGTCACTAATACACCTGGAGCTAAAGTGTTAACGTACATGAACAGGCTTGTTCAGTGATACATATAACAAGAGAAATAAAAAGTGTGTGAGTTTGAACACTTGAACCACATATTCTGCAACAGCTACATTACCAAGATCATTATCTAGTAATACCATATTAAAATAGTCTGGACTCTTTTTCTGACTAGATTTCATAAACTGTTTCTGCTACTGTAAATGTTATTATTCCTAAGATTGGTATCTCAATATTATTATCATCAAAACTACTATCATCATTCTCATTACCACTATCATAATCACCCTAATTATCATTATTATAATCATCATCACCATCATCATTATTACTATCCTAATCATCACAAAAATCATCATCATAACCAACATAATTATTTTTCACACTATAGTTAATCCTAACCAACTTAGGTTATATTATACAGTATTGTCTAAAGTATTTGTTAAATTACCTTTAATTGTATTGTAATGTATTCACTTGTTTATGTTATTGGCTGAATAAAGAAAGAATGAATGAATGAATCATTATCAACACCATCATCATTATAATCATCATAATTATTATTATTATCAGCACCATCATCATCACCGCCACCACTATTACTATCACCAGCAACACCACCACCATCACAATTGTCCCCATTACCATGAACACCACCATCACCTTTTCTGTCAGGTTGGTGAAACACACAGTAGTGTGCTCTTCTACATTTCTGCTGGTTTTAGGGGCATTTTTCTTAATTGCTTTGGCTTCTAATGATTTTCTTTGTATAGCACCTTGAGACAACCAGCAAGTCAATATTTCGTAAACTAGTTAAAAGCCATCTCTCTACCAAGGGAAAATTACCTGTAGATTAGTAAATTTAACTGAATTCTTTAAAATATTAATTTGTATCTAATTTTAGATCCTATTTAGCATAGCATCTTTTTTATGTAAACTGATGTAATATATGTCACTTTACAGGACCCTAATGGAAATAACCTGCTATTGATTTTCTTAGGCTATCCTAGTGGCCAATGTATGTTTATATGTTTTCCAATACTTTTTATGTTATTTGTGTCATTTTTAATATTTGCATGTTTTGTTACTGTAATTTCCTATCTTTTGGTCAAATAAATGAATGAATAAATGAATGAATGACATTGTTCTTTGTGGTGTACTATAATCTACCATATTCTATTTTTAGAATAAAAAATAGAGTTCTATTATTCATATTATAATTATTATTCTCTATAAATATATTACATAATGAAATTTATTCATAGAAAAATTGGTCGTACTGTAACTTCCGCCTCTGCTATAGATGCCCCAACAACTGCCAGTTTGAACTGCTGAAAGAACAGGTATGACCGTCCATCAGGCCTCTCTACAGAACAAATATAGCCGTTTTCTTCTTTAGAAATTTGGAACAGCCAATTCTAAATAAAAAAAGATGAGGGAAAAAATTGCTTTCTATCTCTTGGGTACTGTACTCATTATAATAGTTATACACAGAAAGTAATGATGATGAAGGTGATACCTCAGTGGTTATTGCGGTGATAACGATGATGATAATGGCAGTGGTCGTATGATGGTGATGACAATAATGGTAATGTTGACAATGATGGTAAAACTGATGGCAGTGATGGTTATGATGTTATAATATCTGTATGGCAATAGTGGCAATTAGGCAGTGATGGTTATGGTGATGATGGCGATGCCCATGATGGCAGTGATCGTATGCTGGTGATGACAATGATGGTGATGATGTTGATGACAATGGTGGTGATAATAGTGATGGCAGTGATGGTTATGATGTTATATATGGCAATGGTGGCAATTAAGTGGTGATGATTATGGTGATGATGGCAATGCTGATGATGGCAATGGCAATGATTGCAATTATAGTAAAGTTAGTGATGGGTATAGTGGTGCGATAACAATGATGTTGATAGTAATGATTGTAATGGTGATGATGTTTACGGTGGTGATATCGATGATCAACAAAGGACTATGTACTCTACATTTATTATTAAGATAGAACTTACCTCATGTGTGCCACCTTGCGCTGCATATGTGAAAATGCACCCGAAGGTTCCCTGAAAAACAAAAACCAAATGCGTCAGAGTAGGCTACTACGTTTCTAATAAATATTCACATAACAATAATGTAATAAGGTATATCATTTTTTTTCATCAGTAAAACATACAAACAAAACTATGACTGACTGATGCGATTGCCCCAAAGCAACACAATGTCACTGCCAGGGTCATGAGGCTCTCTTAACAGCACAACAAATACAAATAAAAAATTATCATTTTTTTATGAAGTCATCATAGCAACCTCTCTCTATTTATTAGAAAGTGTATTAGAAAAATTGTGGAAGGATCAACCAGTAAAGTTCAACTACAAGGCAAAATTTTAATCCTGCATATAGGAGTGCGTGGCGCAGCGTGTAAGGTGTTAGACTTTAGATTGTGAGATCGGGAGTTTCGAGACCGACGCCCATCAAATTGCTTGTGTCCTTGGGCAAGGCAAATTACTTACGTTGGCCTCTCTCCACCCATGAGTATAAATGGGCACCTAGGATGGTATGGCATTGAATGTATGGATCGTGCACATTCAAGCTGCAATGACCAGGGATACTCCCCAGGGAGCAGAGGAAGTTGCACAATGTGCGGATTTGCCAGCTCAGTATCCAGTGACCAGGGAAATAATGACACCAGCGCCTTGAATAATCGCTTGTAAATGTCTTAGCAAAATCAAATTGTTACAGAAAGATAAATATTTTATTATTCTAATTTTTACTTTGACGATATACAAAGCAAATAAAATATTTAATTGTATGTACAGGTGTGTTATTCAGCTCAATTCAGACAGTATAGGGCCTACCCTTGATTTTTATTTTACCCCTAGCCTAGGCCTTTTTTTTCTTTTTCTATGATTTTACAACATTTATAATATAATTTCAATCAAACTTTATTAACTATCTTTGACTTATGGAGAGATTGCTTTTCATTCAAGCCTTTTAAGGTATATTAAACAAAAGCCTAACTAGCTTGGCCTATCCTAGGCCCTATAGAAGTTGCTATACTAGGCCCAGGCCTATTAGCCTAGTTGTAGCTAGTACTGTAGTTAGTGAGTGGGCTAGGATGGTGGGCGGTGACCTCACTGGTGTCTCATAAATAGGGCCTACGTTTGGTAACGTACCAGTTTCTTCTCAGTTACATGGACTTCCCCACCAGGCTTAACGAAGAACTCGTCTTCAACCATTTCCCGAACACCCAAACTGACCGGGAAATACAGAGTACTTAAAAGCATGCATAAATAACGAAATTGCGACCACATATTTATTAAGACTGAGACACGACGGACACACAAAAATAACAACAAATAATAATATAGTGTGCGCTGCTGTGCAGCAACTGAGTGACTAACTAACGAACGCGTTGCATTTTAACGCGTCACCATACTGTACTCTCATGGAAAATGACTTTTGGCTTAAGTAGCCCAAACAGACCACACTAACTTTGTTTGAATAGTAAGATTGATATTTTTATTTTTCTCTCCAAACTTGAGAAATTTATTGTAAAAATATAAGCATTGTGACAAAAAATTCTTTACATAAAAGAACCATTTCAACTTAAGTTTCTGACAATTTCAAATACACGTTCATTCAATCGATGGAGAAAAATAAAAGATTCCATTAATTTGAATCAAGCTTAGAAGCTGAGCGTGTCTCATCTTGACCTAGATAAGACACAAATCATATTCTCGAAATAAAGAGATAAACTAAAAATAATTTAAATTTAAATTAAGAACAAAATAACAATGTAATAAATTACTTAAAAGTTATGGTTGATATATTTCTACTAGTAAATAGGCCTTTTTAATAATAATTTAACATTTGTACATATTTTTATTTTATTATCAATATTATTCCATAATTCAGGTCCGCAGACTGTAATAAAAAAATTTGCTTTTTTTGAGTCTTACGAACGGAACATAATGTAATAATAATAATAATGTTTTGTTCTTTAAATAATAGTCATGAATACTTTTAATATTGCCAAGTTGTTACTATCTTGTTTAATTTGTCTGTTTAATTTATTATTATTATTATTTATTTATTACTATCTCTAGACCTATCTTTAAAATAGTGACACGTAGGCTATATCATAAGCATTAATTTTTATCTGAAACGAGACGCATACGAGTTCTGCTGGCCTACCGTGACTTATTAGTTTCTATCCAATGGGATTGGGAAGAGGTAGGCTTGATAGGCCTATATACAATCGTCACACCCAATCCAATTTTTTCAAAAGTTACTACTTAACTAGTCGTTATTGTTTCTCGTTCAATGGCAAAAAAGAAATGTTGTAGGACTAAGGCAATTTCTGGCGCCAACACTGCAAATAATTTTTATCGGCCTATTGTTTTGGAGCTTGATTACACATTATTTGACTTTTGGCAACTAGGCCTATATGAAATCATCCTAGTCTATCATATTTCATTGCATTACATTTTCATTTTATTTATTCGAATACAACAACATACATATTCTCTAAAAATACACATAATCAGCACATCGATAGAATATAATTATTTCGTAGGTTTTCTTTTATTACCATAGTTATTTTATTTAGAATATTATTTTTTATCATTATTTTTGCTACTATATTTTAATATTGTAGGCCTATTAATATACTATTTTATTATTGTTATTACGTTACTAGTTATTACGTTACGAATCACATAAATTTATTAGACTCCATTAGTCAAATTTAAAATTTGAATAGAAATTTTTAAAAATATATATATATTGAAATGTTAATATTTGTTAACTGGATCCTTTCGACGTTTGAGCCTTTATCCTTCCTGACGCTTTCCTTTTCACTAATAATGATAGATCCTTTAATAGTTGATATGCAATGTTAGTAGGCCTGTATAGCTAAAATTTATATTGAAAAAAAGGTTTAATGATTATCGTATCATACAGAATTGTAATAATAGATGAACCATGAATTCCATTGGTTCCAGTAGTCATCTCATCACCATGCTAGGCCAATGTAGATGCTGGTGTTCTGACAATATTAGAGCATCCAGCAACATTTTTACATTTTATCATAATATACAGCATCAATTAGAATATTTATGAATATTATATGTATTTATATGCAAGTTGAATACTGTCGATACAAAAGTTGTTAAATTATGTTGATTATATAATTTGCAAATATATCCATGAATTTGTCACACAGGATTTGATAGTTTGACACAGCCTATTGGTAGACTGTTACTGTTATCGAAATTTATTAATTTTCTATTTCATTCATTGTTCATAGTTACTGTACAGGTAATACCAATTTTGTTTTCTTTATCCGAGTCTCATGAAATATTTTTCTGGGTATCTTGTACTTGGGTGTGTGCATGTCTGCGGGATATAGGCCTATAAGTAGGCCTATATTCCATCTCATTTTTGGCACTCCCTTTAATACATAGGGGGTTATTTTGTAACATTGAATTTTATTTCATTTCCGAATCAACCTGGCAATTTCGATAATGATGCTTGCAAATATCCTGTGTACATACTGACTGGTGATGCTTTCGCCGATGGATTAAATTATCGACTTGAATGAAAAGAAAAATGAATGATGACGACGACGCTGATGGTGATGATGATCATCATGATGCAGACATAAAATGAACATTAAACGAATAACTACTATAATTTATGAGCCCCTCATACATGGGCTCCTATCATGGCTAAAAATATGGACTGTAAAGTTTGTGTGAGCTTTAGCGAGTTGTGATTTGAGTTTATTAAGGAATTTGCTATTACAAATAAAATGTCAGATGATGGTGATGACTTCAGTGACAATTAACGATAATGAAGTGGTGTACCTGAACTTGCAAATGTGACTTTTAAGATGATGATTGAATGCCTAAAATTCGAGCTTTTTTTTCAAAACGGTTTGGTGGGATTGTGAAATTTCCAGAGGGTGAGGGAGGCGGGAATCCCTTTCGCTAACGTCATTGTGCTCAATTTGTTATTAGCCCAATTGTTAATACCAGCCCTACAGATGTTGTTGATATGCAAGGTCTACAATTCACAAGCATTGAATAATTCGCCGACTCGGATTCGCTGTGAATTGTCGCAGACTCAAACTTGACTGAAACTGTGTGTGAAGTAAATATATTCTCCTTAATTGCTCGTTTGATTATGCATTCTGTTAAAATCATGTTTTATACCATAAATCCTTCTTTTCTAAAACGATGAATTTCTTACTATAATATTTTCGAAGTAATTCGGAACCATACTAGCACAGTAAGCGAATTTTGTCTGGTTCATCAGGATAATAGTAGCATTGAGATCAGATAAGCCATTCTTATCTGGTCAATATAATTTAGAGACGTCGAATAGCTCTGAATTGCACTTGAATTAATCAATTACTTGGTATTGGTAACATAAAATTAAGATACATACGGTATACCTTGTCATTGTCGTTGGTAACTTAACTTCAACGTTTTCTAAATATTAAACATGAATTATACATATTTAATAATATTTAAAAATATTACCCTTCATTACAATCATTATGATAAACAAGCATTACAAATACAGTATTCATCAATACAATATTGCTTCTTTTTTCATTTTGTAAAATTTGACATTCTTGTAGCTGGTGTTTGTTTTTTACATTATAATATACGCCTTCATCATTTCATTTAACCATAACCTAGTCCACCCTCTCTCATCTCTGGTTGGCCTATAGTTAGGTTGTAGAAGTCAGGTTTAATAATAGCTTGATACATAGGTCTCTGTTAAAGGTGTAGAGGAAGTATAATTTGGGTTACAAAAGTAGTTTACCTTCTTAAATGAGAGGAATGGGCACTATATTTCTATTACTAAACATCTATTCAATGTACCTAGTAAGATTGTATTGTATTACTGCATAACAATCATTGCTTCACACAATGGACATCCAACCAGATAATGTGTTATACAAAAAATATTGAACAATTAACAGTTACAACATAAAATAAAAACAAATAATAATAATTCTAAAATTATTATACCATATGTTGGAAATATAAATGCTGCAATGACAAGTACAAAGCTAATTTCTACTGGTAAATGTACTGGTAATGGTTATCATGTCATTTGCTGTATATTATTAAATTGTGGTAATTTTTATGTTGATTTAGTTCTTGAGTAATACTTGTTTGATGAGAGATTGACATGAAGAGAGTGAGAGGTCCAGAGCACAAGGAAAATATGAAAAGATTAGTGCAACACAGACATCTTTAGTCTCGAAGATGTCCCCTTAATAAGGGTTCTACTGTATGATAGAACAAATTACGATCTGCAGATGATGCTGATATGACAATGGATTTCTACCAGGGCATGGTCCCAGGACGCCCATAGTCGATAGGCAAGATATTATGCGGCTTCAGAGAAGGTAATGTAGACATAAAAATACAGGCACATATACTTTATACTTCTTTTTATTCGAGCTCATAAAACTCAACTTGCATTGATACTAAGTACTCCATAACATCACTTTCTAGATCAGTAATTTTAAAGGTACATCAGATCGACTATACATAATTATACAACACCTGTATATATTCTATTAATTTGATTGATTGAAAACAGGTCATGTGAGATTTAAAATGACTATTCCATGGTTATTTGAGTACTAGTCAACGATGGTTGAATAGTACTTTTTCATCACCAAGACAAAATTATCCTAGCGCACCTAGGCCACCCGTGACTATGTTATTACAACTCACGCGTCAACAAGGAGTTGGTCATTCAGTATCTTTGCTCTGCAATAAAATGGCAGGTTCATTTGGTACTGCGCCATTTGTACTTTTGAGCTAAGAAGGTCTGGAGGAATTAGTGAAAGAAAATGATGGTGAATCAACAAAAAAGGCAATAAAATATGCAGTTAACCGTATGAAGTATTTTGCCAGCTTTAGTGGTAGGATGAGTCTATTTTATCAGCTGAACTTGATCGATTCCTAGGGCTACGCCGGTTTTATATGCTCACCATTGAAAGGATGATGGGTCCTTGTAATGTATTCAAAGAAAAGCATGCAGGCGATGTATAAAGGAGGTGTTGTATAAAACAAATTATGAATGCTTCTCATTCATACAATGGGGCAGAATATTTAATGAGGTGAAAGATTGGATATTCTATTCAACTCAAACTATGCCATATTGAATAGAACATCCAATCTTTCACCTCATGAAATATTCTACCCCATTGCACTCATGAATATTCATTATTTATACAGTACTATGTGGGATTAACATTAACATAGTCAATATATTCTGTAAGCAGATATGGCTTCACACATGCCATGCTAGTGGTAAAAAATATAGTATGGTACAAAGTGAATTGAATATACAGTATATTGCATGTGTTTTTTATAGTAATATTTAAATACATAATTTGCATACTATGATACTCTTCAAATATAGAGATTATATATATTACAGCTATATCTGGAAAACAATATTACTCTATTAACAAACCACCAATCACATAAATAATAATTAAAGTCATCGTCTGAAGGCAGTAAATGGATAAACTATAGATATAATACATACAATATAATAATAAAATAATCTATAAAAATAGATTTTGAAATATTAGTCACTTGTAATATTGCACCACTATTAATTAAGGTGACGAAGCATAAGAATATTACTATATCTAAATTATGAAAAACTATATTATTAACAGGAAAAGATGTCACAATAATTTCTTCCAAATTGAAATAATGTCATACACCCCTTAATTTCTTGAATTTCACGTACACATACATTTCTGAAAGTTTTCTCAACCAATCATACCATAATTCCTTGCATTATTTTGGGTTTTTATGAACTAGACTCTGTAAAACCAGAAAACAAAACAGAATGCAATTTCCTTGCTATTGATATTGACCCATTGGAGAGTAACATTCGCACTGGTTCTACAATATCCTGGAACCAAAGAGCAATCCTGACAATACTCTGTTTCGATGGCATGTAGAAGTGAATATGGAAATCCTCTATACAGTGTAAACTCCTGAAATCTCGTACTGCGCTCAGATTTGTAGAATCGGCTTCAAACAGAACAATTAAACACAAAGACAAAACGAAAATAGACACAAGGAAACAAAGAACGATTTTAACTAATATAGACATCCTACTTGGCTGAACTATGGAGTCTGTGTTACATATGCGTGCTTCACGTTTTGCTGGAAGGTAGTTATTAGGAACGGCGCCATCACAGGCATCCTGAGTGGAAGGAGGTGAAAGGTCATCTGAGAGTGTTGTAGATTCTTCAATGCATTCATGAGTGACAGGAGGATAGGACATCAGCTGATTGTCAAACCTTTTTGGGGTTGAGTGATTTGAGTCGGACATTTGTGAAAAACCTTTGAAATAAAACCAGTCAGAATAAATTATTTTTAAAAATTCATACAAATATTTTGTGGTATACTTTGAGAAATGGGTAGAGAAATTGAGGTAGCATAACAATATTATTTAAAAATTGATTGAATTAATTATTAATAAATGCAAATTGCATATTTTATTAATTACCATCATACGTGTGTACATCTGAAGTGTAGAGATGATCCATAAAAGACTTTGTTCTTCTTGGCTTAACCATGGGCGGACTCCTGCACAAATAAAAAAAAAAACAGAGCGAAAGTCATACTAACATTTTCAGACCACACTATCCTTTTAAAGTCAGGCTCTGGAGGAAAAAAATTTTTGATATGTTGTAGAACTAATTTTTCTAAGACAGAAAAAAGTTGTTTGATGAAAAACTGGGGAACGGTGAATGAGATACAGATTTTTTAATATTCAAAAAGTGTAAGTTTGTTTACAATTTCAACACGCTATAGCCGACAGCTTTCGGTGATGCTGATAGGTTGGTCGATTTGGAGAAAACTACACAGTACAACAATTGCACTGAAAACACAGTAGACACAGTGTAGCGATTTTATGGAAGCCCGGCTTTACAGAAAGCTCTTTCCAACTGGCCTAAGCTGAGCATATGCGAAGAGATTTTTTGTTATGACTTATAGCTAACTGACCTCGCAAAGATGGGTTCTTCTCTAGTGATATTGGCGCTCTGTTCCAATACTTCATGTTGTGTTCTGCCACTATAAAAATAACAAAATTAAAATGATGGCTAAGGTGGTAAAGTTCATTTCATTTATTTTTACATGTAACAATTACTAAATGGAAATATTTTCTATAAACTAAGATGGCACACCTTTGTCGGTTCACCTAATAATTATTATATTTGTAGTTCTTTTTAGTGACCAAACGTGTGGAGTAGTGTACCAACCCTACCCAATTCACAAATGAAATGCAATCAAGTACAACTTACGAGAACTTGAAGCGTGTCCCTCGAAATAAACTTCCAGATGTTTTCATTGACACATCTTTTGATCTTTCAAATCTGCCCGAAGAAAATTATAATCATATGACAATTACCTTTACCTTTGTCATTATCAATATATTACAAGAAAAAAAATATGATGTAAAAATAACAATAAGGAAAGAAGAGTTTTAGCGGGACAGTTTTAAATAAATTCTTTTGTCCTCTTCACCATATATACTGTATTTACTCACTTAAAAAAAGCCTGATGATCTACTGCGCATTTCCAAAGATGCTTACTAGCAGCTGATGTCTCTGAGCGGAACCGATGTACAACTTTGCGCTGAAGGACAAAAAAATTACAATAATAATTAGTTATTATGTAGCACTATTTCATGAAGAACACTCTTATTACCAGTTCATTGGATACATACGATCGCTTCAAATTCATCCAAAACCATTACATTCCAAATCAGTGAATTAATACTACTATGTACTTGTTTATACTCCTGGGTGAAAGGAGACAATTATAGATAAAACATCTTGCCAACAGATATAAGCAGACATTAAGCATCTCACACTGTTTAGACATACAATCTGAAGATCATAGCAGAGATCCTATATAGGATCTGTGCTCATAAGTTCAATAGACTGATTCCCCTAAGTTGGTCATGTGGGGTATAGTGGGTATAAATTGAAAATACGCAGTGCGAGTGACGATCGGTAATAGGAAAATGTGTGGCATCTTCAGAGTGTTTCTGCTGTAAAGAACGTATTTGATGTTGAATAATTTTGGTTGGAACTTGAGAATTTTGACATAAGGTTTTTGGTTTGCTAAAAATGCTCCATAAAATACTGGCCCCAAAAATTGAGATTTTTAAGAAATGCTAGGCATACGCCCCTGCATATCTACAGCCTACTTGGGTATGCACAAGTCTTTGATCCGCGAACTGCGATTTGACTCCCTAGGATTTTTAGACTAGCTACGACTTACCAAGAATCCCATAAATTTCAAAGCATACAAAGCACAGAAAAGTAAATACACACTATTTTGAACAATCATAGTGCCTTTCCTTGCCAGTTATTTCTCACGTTAATAGTGGGCAGTTGTTTTTGCAACCATAACATTAATCTTTCCTGTACTTTTACACTGATCGCACTTAACTTCGCCATAATTATGCACACTATATGTCACATGACCAGCTGTAAACAAACATCGCGGAATCAATCTATTAGACAATTTCCTTGGCTGAGCAGTGTTTCAGCATACACAGATACATAAGTATAATTGCGAATGTTCTGATACATGCACTAAATTTCATGCACAACTAGAATTAATCCCCAAGGTTTTGAAATGGTAACACATGTGCAGATTTGACTATTTATTATACAGTTATCATTGTAGTCTGAATTCTAGAAAGTGCATAGGAGAAATGAAAGACAAAATTGAAAGTGCATAGTATTTATAACGGCAGAAACTTAGAGGTTGTTGGTGATGAGCTTGTTTTTTTTTCATGATACCGCAAAAATCAAATAAAAGAAGTACAAATAGGTAAATTATACTTACCTCATTTATTACAGCACTTATGTAGAATGTTCTACCATCGAATGAGAGTCTGGAAATCACTTTCCACGGGAAGTGTTGCAATTCCACACGACCTTTCAACAAGCTAAGGCCTCGGTATGTCATACCTATATACACTAATGTTCCATATATATCCTATGGTAGAAATAAATTCATCAAATATATTACCATCAAATGAATCAGAGGTCCCAAGCTTTTTGTGAGCTGTGAAGGCCAGCTAGAAATTAAGATGGCCTCCTTTAATCCAGCGAGCAAGCAAAATTCTCCTCGAAATTAATGTATGTCCCACAATTCAAAGATATTTGCACATTTCTATTACTGTGTTATCAACTGTCTCCGTGACGTCACCTGGCCATGGGTATCGCCATGCAGTAAAGTAAAAAAAGATGAGTTAAGAAGCTCATTTAATCAGATCTTCCAAATGTGGCTTTTCCGAAGTTGGGACCCCAATAGTCAATCTAATCTAGTGATGCCCAACATACTCAAATCATATTGAAAAAAAAAGACATAATGTTGTTTATCTTTAGAACTTAATATAAAATATTTGTTGCTATGATCATTGCAGATATTGTTCATCTATTCTGCCCTCTATTAGCCCTCTATAGCACCATGTCATAGGATCATTTAGAAAACCATTTTCAACCCATACTCACCCTCACAGGATGTGGGTCTACTCCATAGGTGAGAAGAGTGTGGGCTTTATTTATGAAGTGTTCCTCAGCATCAGCAGCGCTCAACCCTCTGATTAATGTTGTATTTGAGATGTGTGGGCCTCTGTGTAACAACCTTGCTGTAAGATTCACCCACTAAATTTACATTTTAGCAAAACAAAATCAATGACTTGCATACATTAAACTTTCCTTATTATCTTTATTATATTAAGTCTGTCTCTTATACACATCTAGATGTGTATAAGAGACAGGCTTAGTATGTGTTCCTTAAGTGCTTGATCCAATGGCGGCACTGCATAAAGACCTTGGTAAGAAGCATTATATACAGTAAGACTCACATATTATTAGGATTATTATGAAATAAAACTGAACTAAGGATATGCATTAATTTTTTTATTGAATATATTGTAAAAAATATTTATGCTATATACAGTATTAATAGCAATAACTAAGATATCATTTAATAATAATTTTAATAATACAATGTAATATGAAATGCAAATTTATTCTCATTCAATATTAAATATTTTCATTACAGTGACAAACTCTCCTATTAGATGAAGTTGTATGACGTTAGCATTAGTAGTATTTCTATATTTGAAAATACACAGGTAACATTTTTCCTCGACTGAATGGGCCATCATACTTTTTTAAATGAGGCTGTTTAGATATCCAGTACATCCATGTGCGTTTCTTTTCTTTTCTGCATTCTTGAATGGATATGCAATTATGAAATGAAATTTAGTGATAGATTTTAATGACATTTAATAGAATTTATTATTAGAATTCTGATGAAATGTGAGAATTTGCACAGCAAACAATGTGATACTAAATCTGTCATTACCTTCAAACTACTACTAAGCTTATAGATTCTACCATAGAAAATGCATGAGAACAAATATTTTGAGAGGGAAATACAGCCTTTTGTGGAGTGGTAATACCATTCTAAGAATTACCATATATGGGTTCAGTTGTCATGGCTATTAAACTGTATTGTATTATGCCTTATTTACATATTTATAATTTATGATAAATCTTTGATATTCCAAACACAGTCAATGCTTTTAAAATAAAGGTTCTACCAGTGAAATAATTACATAACAAATAATTGGAGAGCAAAGCATTCTCCATTATAGAGGAACTATAGAACGGTTTATGAATTGAAAAAAAGGAAGTATTAAAATTAAAAGAATAAAATTGTTTGCAAATCTAAAACCTAATGTAAAAAATTGTCAATCAAACAAATCATGCAATATATGATATAAACACATCATCAATGCTATAACATTAATTAATAATAAAAGAATACATAACAGAATAAGTCATAATTAGTGTACATTTCTGGTATTTTCAAATTTTAAAAGAATCCATTTGAATTTGTGGGAACAAAAAAATATTAGTAGTGCAAATCAAGCATTAAATAGATTACAGTACATTAGTTTGTAACGTTATTACTATAAACATTTTGTTTATTAATTATTATTGGCAGTTAAATGTTTCAGTATGATAAATATGAAAACCAATGCTTTAGCAAAAAAAAGGCACAAATTATCTGAATAAAATAAAAATTGATAAATACTAAAACTATGTTATGAGTGCTGTATGAAAAAGCAGCAAAATATAATATGACACTTAACTGTTGAATAATCATGCACACAACCAATGATTGAATATGATTAAACTTTGACCCTGCAAACAGAAATATCATTTTATGCACGTTGACCAGTAGTCAAGCAATAAAACAAATAACAGCCAGAAATATATAGCTGCAAGAAATGGGGCAGTGGAGAAAATACATAAGAAACTATGAGGGAAACTTTAGTAGAGCATGATAAATGAGAGAGGAGGGAAAGTTGAGGCATAAAATACAAGAGAAAAACAAAGGTGAATTGGAAGAAGAAACAGAATGAAAAGGATGGGTAAATTTAGGAGCTGAAGAAAAGTCAATTAAGAAATGAAATAATGATAGACGGATGGATAGCAGACGATGGTGGTAATAGTGGACAGAGATTAGGATAGAGGATATGAAAAGGGGCAAAGCATCAGAGAAGGAATATTAAAGGAGGGAAAACTTAAAATATGTAATAAGTTTGTAGCTAAGAAACCCACCAAACCCTTTGACCAAAACAAGCATCTATTTCCAAGCAATGAACATGTACTGTAATGTAAAGCATGGCATTAAAGTCACTGAATAAATTACATTTTCTTCATCGAAAATGCAGTCTAGATTTCAAGGTTTGAAATCAACATTTTAAACTATTCATGAAAAGCAGAAATAAATTACAAAATGATTTCATTTACTACAATTTAAACCAATGACTAATAATTCTTATCCCAATTTTAACCAAAGCCACCTCACATCACCACCAGTTACTGCATTGCATATACATGTAGGCATCTGTGTTTATTAGCATCTTTTTTTCAATAAATAACTAAAACATTGCCAAATGATTTGTTGTTCCATACCTTAAGCACCTGTGCTGATTTTCAACTTTCTTTTCAAATCTGGAGGATTGTCGAGAAACCAGCTTGAACTTTGACACATATCCATCTTCGGCAGCCAAATCATAATCGCCAATGTTTGCTGGATGAAAAAATATAGAAAAATATCAGTTTACTTTCTGCTACAATAAATAATTATATTATATCAATAACAAATGGACAAAACCAAACATTAGATACAAACATTTTTCTATCTTCTGATATCTCTTTCAATCTACTGTAATTGCATTACTCTCATTATTAATGTTGTATTTGAGATGTGTGTAACAACCTTGTTGTAAGATTCACCCACTAAATTTACATTTTAGCAAAACAAAATCAATGACTTGCATACATTAAACTTTCCTTATTATCTTTATTATATTAAGTATCGTTTGTCATCATTAATACAATTCCCATCACACAATTATCACCATAAAAATACCATCAACATTATAATCTCAATCACCATTTCCATTACTCCTTTTACAACTTACCCTGGATAATATAACCTGCTAAGATGACAGAATCCTCCTTATTGCATAAAAGGCGGCCATGTTGGAGGTCCCGACACAGTTGGAGGAATAGATGGTACCGTGTGATCCCCTCCTTGATTGCTTGTGGGTTTGATGGATAGAACTTCACCCTAAAGACAAGGTTGTAAGGTGGTCCTCCTGTGAATTTGATCAAATACAATAACAATTTATGCATACAGTTTTAAGACAAGTCCTGCTAACTTGTACTTGGATAAATTTGAAACATAAAATCAAGTCATACATCGACAAATATAGACCATGGAGGAATTAGTTTATTCCTCCATGAATAGACTAACAAATCATTTTCATGATTTTTAAAAGCTTCTTAAAATAGTACAAGTATACAAATTTACTACAACTCTTAACCCGGATATCTATCTATACAATAGCTTTATTATACTGATTCCTCTTAGCCTATTATTAATCATAATCTACCATCTATTACAAACACACACCAAACACTAAAGTGTTATTATATAAGACTTTATGTTTGACTACTGATCTGTTACAGTACGGTAATATTGTATGAGAATATCCAAAATTATTTTGTTTTTCTATTACATATCTATAGTTTGGTGGCTAACAATCCTGGAAAAGAATTGTTGTACCTCTCCAACAATTAAAATACACTTATAAAACACGTCCAGTACCAAATGTTATCTGTACACAATATAGCTAAAAGTGTTCGTCTGGAACAGCAAAGAAAAAAATATGTCACATAAATTTTTTTTTTATTTCTCCCAATAGATGAACGATGCCTTTTATGCCAGTTGCATTGTGGTGCAAAAATCCAATATTTTTATGATAACTATAAGTTACTAACAAAACTGTGAATTAACCATATAATTGAGAATTTTCTCTGAAAATTAAAAATGGTTAGTGGTTAAACTTTAACGCCCTGTCCAGATTATGAAATTTGTTGTATGCCGATATATAGTCATGATGTGCCTATATACGGTCATGATGTGGCTATATATGGTCATGATGTGATGTCATCATGGCTATATTTATAATGCATGTCACATGTTTTTGTAAAATAAAATTTGAAAAGTGTAAACAGGACTTAAAAATTAAATGCCCAACAACATGTATCTATGTAATGAATGAGAAAATTGAATCACAATAAAATATATGTGGCAAAGACAAGCCAAACCAGTCACTCGTCGTAAATCCTGTTTCAGAGATAAAAATATCCTGGGAGACCAAAACATCCTGGGATGTCAACATTTTCGAAATTTATTTTAATGCACTAAACTAACCATTATATATCTATGATGATGCTATGCTGTTATTTTCCCCGAATGTTAAAGCAACAATTTTTGAACGATTTGGTGATGGTTTCTGCCTGGGAAATGCCTGAAATCATAAACTTAAAAGGCTGATTTCTCAAATATTGCTCTTTAAACAGATGTATGTTTAAACTCCTGTAACTTCATAATGAAATATCGGATTTAAATGATTCTTTTAACATTTTATTTATAGCTCTCATTTTACTGTTTAACACAGTATTAATAACTAAAAATCAATTTTTGCAACGAGTGACTGGTTTGGCTTGTCTTTGCCACATATTTACATTATTACAATTTATGAATGCTTTAATTTTTTAATAATTACGAAAAATCTACTCCACATACTTAAATAAAAATATTGTTGTAAAGGTCATAGCTAGTTGAAACCGTACAAAACACTTATATTGTGATATAATACTAATAAATGAGGTGACCTTAAGTCAACCCCGTACGCAACTACAAGAAAATGTAAGCAAACAACGAAACGACAGCAGACATCTAGCAGACACTGTACATTAAAACTGATAGCTGATGATGATGCACGTCAATAACTGGGCAATAAATAGACATAGACCTGATCACTATGACAACTAACATGAGAATTACATCACTTGGTTGAGTACTAGTTTCTATCTTGAGATTCAATTGAGTTATGTTGATAGAGTGCAGACTTTAAGCAAATTCTAAGCAAAGAACAAATGTTTATTTTGAACTTGGACTTACATCACTATAAGAACATGCAATTGTAATCAAAGCAATGTTTGTATTTCATTTTGTTTATAATGTAATTATGATTATCATTGCTTTTTACTTTTTATTAATCTCATAACATTATCATTTCTATTTCCTCAATTTTCATTGCATCTTATTTAATACATTGAAGATATTGTCCATCATTGTACTATTTAATTTGTCTTTTCTATTTTGTGTGTGTAACAGCGTTCAGAGAGGTGATTATAGGGCGCTATATTTAATAACCTATATATTATTATTTAAAAATTTGTCATGGAAAGTACACATTAATTTTAAATATCATATGTGACTGGCCCAGGAACTTAAATTGCCTTGATTTTCAGTAGCTATGTCCTGATGGAGGAGTCAATCATGGTTGTTATGGTCTGTCACATTTAAAGTACAATTCCAGGGTTCTTTGTTCAAATCCTGTAATATGCCCGGAATTATTCTCACAACTCCACTCACTAAGTTTAAAAATAGTTTATATGATACAATACCTTTCATCTGCTTCACTATATTCTTTGTGGGGTCAATCCAATGCTGTAAAAATATAAAATAATATATTTGCAAGTAAAAATATATTTATATAATTATTATCTTAATACCTCTACCAAGGAGGATATGTATTCACTGCTGTCTGTCTTTCTGTTAGCAAGATTACGCAAAAACTAATGAATGGACCATCATAAAATTTAGTGAAATGGGACATACACTGTAATACTTCAATTTTCGGAAGAAAAGGTCAATGAATAAGGTCAAGATCACAGAAATTTTTTTTTTCTCTCGAGCATAAAAGAAAATAATGAAGTCACCCCTTGTACTGTATACAGGCAGCACATGTGTCTGAATACAGTGGGCCATTGCATTAATTTCTTATGGGTAGGCTGCAGCACTCAAGAAAATAAGGTCCCTGAATACGACAGGGTATGCTGCAGTTTTGCACATGATCACAGCCTGCATATTGTCAGTACTGTATTCAGGCACATGGCAGAGGTATACGCTCTATGGTGTGACTACTCTAGTTACAACTTGTAATACAAATCTTTATACATTATAAACCAATTTAAAGGTATGCAAAGAATATAGGAGATTATCTATAATTGAATATAGGATGGGTATTATTTTTGTATCAATTACTTTTGATAGGATTTTTCACAATCAAATGTTCATGTGAAAGCAATTGGTAACCTACTTAGACATAAATTAGGCACGTCAAATACTGAAATATATCTTTTTCTCACGAGATAAACATTACAGCTTCAAATTTACAAGTGACAGAATGCCTACAGGAAAGAATGATAGACTGCTATCTTACTGCTTAATACATAGAGTATTATTATCAGATTTCTAACATCTATTGAAACATGATACATTAACAAACAATTGATTCAATTGAAATAGCATATACATTAAAGCGTCAATCCTATTTATTTAGCTAAATAGTTTTGGAAATCTCCCATTCGTCCTCCATTACCTGCTAAAATAGAAACATTCTCAAATTGCTGTGATATACCTGAATGGGTAGCCTACACCTAACTACAGTAATTCAATAGAGAATGTAACGCCACAACAAGCGTGCAGTAAATCGTTTTTTAATGACGATCCATTGAGATTGCTACCGACAATCAGTAGACAGCATCGGGTCATCTAGTGCTCAACGACAGCGGAGTTCGATTGTTGGCTGACAGTCGTTTGACGGTCGTATGACGCAGTCAAGTGTCCAGCTTTAGACATGCTCACACAATGTTAAAAATTACTGCCCACTAATGACTTAACAATGCAGAATGTTTGTATTTATAACAGAAATGAATGGATTATGGTAATGAGGACTCAGAATATATTTTAATGCGAACAACTTTAAATGCCACTTTAAAAAGCCTATCAAAGCAATGGGCTGATTTGTCAAGATCTGTACAGCTCTGCACATGGTTTTATAATCTGTTGCCTTTTAACCAGAGTCTGAAAGCACATCACATTCATATGAATATTTTATATTAAAATAACTGACGTAAACCATGAAATACAAAATTGATTCATATTTCAAGCCTTGACATTTTCCAATGAATGATATTCTTCAAACTGATAAGATGCACTTTTTTGTAGATGAGAAATATGACTGTTTAATGAAATACATAAAATTATGTAGATCAAGTCTTTACAACGGAATGGGTGAATATTGACAAACTGCTTCTATTTGTGGCATTATTAGTCTCTAATGACAGCACCACCATAGCTTTAAAAAACTTATAAAAAAGTTTTATGTTTTGGCATCCATGTGCTTCTAATAATTTTAGATCATTTTGCTCAATTTTAAATCTTGGGCTGTCCGACAGTTGCTTAATCCCCTCTCCTCCCCCACCCCGGCACTGCCACTGATTGTTCTGGAAATGTGTTCAATACAGTAGGTATCTTTCTGCCTCCCTCTAATTTTATTTGTTTCCTATTAAGCAGCTTTTACACTTGCTTGCCTAATTTGTCTTTTAAGCTAATTTCTTCAACAGTTTTTTTTAATTTTCAAGTGCAAAAGACTTCATTTATTCACAGTTGTACAAAGTCAACTAAACATTATTATTAATATTGTAGTTCGAAATTTCAATCAATATTATGATACCAAGTTAATTAAATTTGAATTCTCAAGCGTTACGTGTAGTTTGAGTTTCCATCCAAAAAGATACAATAATACAATAGAGACAGATCACGTATCTGTCCTGAAATGAATGACAGTCGTATCTCTGGCAACAGTGAGCTCACATGATTAAATCATCACTTACAATTCCTATTGCATTCCATGCATTACAGTAGCAATTATAAGAACAGTAAATAACGGTTGGCAGCCATGTCTAAAGTAGATCTGACTTTGATCTGAATAACATAAATGTGTGGGCATTCTCTTATTAATGTCATGAATTTAGATATTCACTTACAGAAAAACTTTTTACAAAAAAATGTGAACAGCAGGCCTTGCAGTAACAGACATGGTAAGGCATGACTTTTTTTATGTCTTGCTATTTTTTTAAAGACCGTCAGAGGAGGGTGGGAAAAAAATCAACATACTAATTTTGGTGTCTTATTTAGCAAATATTTTTGCCAAAAACATCTAGATGGAGGAGAATATAAAAATAAAATTTAATAGGTGAATGTAAGCAGTATACTGTAGGAATGGGATGGTTAAATGCCTTAAATTTATATAATTAGGAAGAAATATACATATATTATTTTTGTTGATTTCAAGGTAGCGTAACAATTTTTTTAAAACTTCATTTTTTTCTAAAATTTCCTTTTTTTGTGGAGGCCAGTGTGCCAATTATCGGAAAATAAAATATTATTTTTATTTGAAATCACCATTATTGACGAGTGGCAGGTTCGTTAAACAAGGTATGAAAAAAACCTCACCTAAAGAATGTAAATGAAAGCAAGGTCTTATATCATTGTTCTATGGAGTCCTTAACCAGGAAATTGAGTTCTATTTTCAATTAATTTCATGTATTTATAATAATCGTCCATAAAATGAAGAGATATCTACAGAGTGTGGGTTTCACTACCTGTAGAGAATTTAATGCATTTTAGAGTCACTCATCAAAAGAATAAATTAATTCCTTGTATTGTAAATATTTGAGTACTCTATGTAACAGACGTACAGTATATGAATATTATTACTTATTACATTCAATAGTGTCTACTCTATGACCAGGATGACTAGAGCAGCTTGATAGGGGGACTGCAGCAACCATAGACATTGGCGTATCTTCAAATATTGGCTTGGGAGGAACTTAAGGGTGCAGGATGGAAAAGTTAGGGGCACTAGCTGGGGAATGAGGTGATTGTCTTGCTCAGCTAATTTTCAGTGGGGGGGGCATGAGTTATTCCTTTAGATGCAAAACAAACTAATAAAATTGTGAAAGCACAACTGGTATATGAGGCATGTCGTGGCAAAATGGTTAAGTTGTTGCACAGGCCAGTATTGAGTAAATGAGCTATAAAATATGGGAGCTAAAAAAATTGCCTAAAAATCCAAATCTGTTTTTCATTATAGATCAACAGTTTAATGTTTTACATGTACCAAAGTATTATTTCTGGAAGTGGTCAAAAAATTGTTTATTTAATGTTATTTTGATAGTTCATTATGATTCTATTAATCAATGTATGCACATATAACTTTGAAAGGCAATTAATACTCAAAAACATGTTTATCTTGATTCTAAGTGTACTGTACTTTCACTTTCCAATAACTTAGGCTTGAAATGTCCAATTTCAATGAATGACCTCTTATTTTAAAGATCACATACTCATGTATCTAAAAATACTAATAACTTGAATTTCAATTTTTGCTACAACTTAGCCATTTTGCCACAACATGCCTCATATTGGTGTACCTGTCAACAAACAGTTTAGTAATAAACTACTATATACTGTATTAATTTTAAAATAGTATATTGTTTTAAAAAGTCAAATTAATTTCTATGGAAATGCAATATTATAATTTATATTTATTTACAGACACTGCATCATGCAACTGTCGTACAACCACTGCCACCATCAGCCAACAAATTCATCTCTGCTCTCTTTGAGTGTTTGACAACATGACGCTGTCTGCAGATTGGTGATGGTAGACTGATTGGATTGTCGCTAAAGAATGATCCATTGTGTGTGCCTCATTGCATTGCATTCTCCAAGGAATCACTCCATCATCGGTATTGTGTGTATCCTGCCTTTAGTTTCAGTACCCGTATCTATGCATGTTCAAGTTCACGTTCAATTGTATTTTCCGTTTAAAATAAAAGCATCAAGATACAGTACATTTTTTATTATGAATAAACGAAAATGATAGGAAATGACAAGTGCAAAGATCTATGAGATGGCCACTCTAAGTAATATAGAAAATAAGCAATATTATTATTAGTAACAAAGACAGAAAAACAGACAAACATGACACATATTATAACAAATATATATACACTATGTGATCAGGTGTATGTGGAGGAAAGGGGAATCACATGTTGTGTCTGTAGGTATTTTGGTGTACATTCTATGGTGAATTCAACAATTAAAAAAAAAAATTAAAATATACCCTTTGTTTTTCTCCATCCATGAATCTAAGGCTGAAATAATCTCTCTCCACAATGTTCAGCTTTTCGATGACATAATCTAGCAACACCTGACCCCTTACATCTTTCTGAAAAATAAAAAGTGAAATTCACATAATTCGTTGAAAATTATCATCAATAATCGCTTTTTAATTTATCAGAAACAGGCAGAAAATTTTGAGTGACTTCATCTTCTTTGAAAAAAAGACATTGATTTTTTTTTAAGTGAATTTTTATAAACAAGCTGATATGTTTCTCCCTGGAGGTAAGACATGGATTCTCCATCAACACATTTGTTGCTTTTTATTCTGGGAATGGTTAATGGTCGTCTTTTATGGCTACTGTACAATTAAATATATTTCAACAATGGTTTGTGAGGATGGTTCATCCAACTGAAGCTGGTTTTTTGGGAGACTCAATGCATATAAAGAAGGACGAAACAAAACCTATTAAAGAATTCAAAGTAAATATTTTAAACAATAGCAAAATTTGAAATCAAAATATATTGTAAATTAAATCAGAGATATTGAAGTAATATAAATTTATAAAATACATTATAATTTACAATACTAACAATTATATTAAAACAATAAATGACAGCAAACTAAAATTATTAATAAGAGTACATGGAATATCAATTAACAAAATAATTAATTATTTAAGGGATGAAATAATGGTATTCAACATCGTATTTAACAGGTTTTGCTGGTTGAGACTTTCTACTACGTAAATCCTTAAATTAACTCACTGTTATGTCCATATTACTACAGTACATAACAAAACAGCAGCTGCATATTTCTTGTTTGTTAGTAAATCTGTATGTTTTTGTTTATAGTGCTTTTATCTACAGTATACCTTGTGATGCTTTAATGTATACAGGTAATGTAAACCCAGAACATATTGCGTAATAGCATCAGTAGTTATATTGATACTCATAAAGGTAAAAAAAGGTAATCAGACTGAAAAAATGGGGCATGCCATCCCAAACCAGTATCAATGGCCAAAACTAAAATATTGACATTTTAATACATACGGTATTCATACTCGTCACAAAGCTTGAAAATGATGGGTCATTTTATAGGAATCAACAATACTGCCACATTATTTTTCTAATTACTCATTTTTACATGCAGTGACAGTAAACTGGTATTGAAATGGCAATTTCTCAAAAGGTAAAGGTACATTAGGTGGATGTATTCAAATAAAAACTGCTCATATAGTCAGTTTTATAGAGAAGCCACTGACGCCATGCTGGAGGGAACAAAATGTTACAAATATGTCATCGCAGCACAAAACTTTTGAACCACTGATTTACTGACATTTTTTATTGACAAGTTGGGATGTTGAATTCAAAGTCGATAAGTTGATAAATCATGAGCAATTCATTGTTTTAATTTATTAAATATTAACACAGAATGATATTTACGGGAATGCTCAACATAGTTTTGAGCAACCACTTGTAAAATTTGCAAAAGTCTTAACATACTTCATTGTTTTTAACTGTTTTCTTAATGTAATTTGATTTTGTGTAGGACACAAGATTAAGGTTCAAAGAAAGGGGGCTCCGTTGTTGGATTGTATATCAAAAACCTTGGTCTTGTCCACAATTCACTTTCTGTTCTGTGAAGGTGCAATCTGGTATATTCTCTCGTTCTTTCCAGAAGAAAGTCAGTGTGATATGACAGACATGTACATGTTTGCTTGGTGTAGGCATATATTTTTTTTTGGTCCGACTACCCGACGAGCTCTGGCCGGTAAGGGGGGGGCTTGACCTGTCAGATGGGGAAGCTTAATGGCCCCTTCCGTTGGTAGACTTGGCCTAGAAAGACATAGGCCCTTGGCCTAGACAGTCTCAAGTCTCATACTGCAAGTGGTAGAGCAAGTACATGATCGAAAATGCTTTTTCAGAGGAGTGATCTAAAGTTACAATTTGTATCTATTTACCTATCGAAAATGGCACATCAAGGGATACAGCAGATTATTGAATCCAGTGGTGGCGCCAGGGAAGACGAGTAAATTTTGTCGGGGAATAAACAAATTAAAAAAAAATATTTACTTTCATTAAACTATAATAATAATAAGAATAATAACAATAATGATAATAATAATAATAATAATAAATAATAACAGTTCAATTAAACTCATTAAAAATAATTTGCGTTCTGTTACTGACAATTAATGCTCGTTTGGATAGCCTCATGATGCGTGATAGGGGAAGCAACCTCGACCTGACGGCGTGGTTGACAGATTTCATGTAAAATTTTTAAAATGTTAGAATTGCACTTTTAAAGAATGAGGATTTGAAAATAAATTAGATGGTTACATATTACATACTCTTTGTTTCTTGTTTTATTATTCAAACTGTTTTGGTTTTGGAAGCTGATTTCGACATTAGAAAACATAGCCTACATGAAGTCATATTATAGTAGCTCGGTGCCTATCAAATAAGTAATAAAAATTCAAATATCAAATATCCGTCGGTTCCAGGGGAGGGCGAATCCCCCAGGTCCCTATCCCCCCCCCCACACTGGCCCCCAGCCAAGTGAGACTCAATTCGATCCACTAGCCCCCCCCATCCCCACCGTCGGGGCCTTCAGCCACTCCGTCGGGCAGGTCCTGGCGCCATCACTGGTAGTACATCAAAAAGAGGAATACGCCGGTAACCTAAAGTATTTACAGAATACTGAGTACTCCGGCGCTCTTCCTTTGATGGAGACCTTACCTCGAAACTGCAAACAAGAGGCTCAGCTTGCTCCTCCAAGCGACGGACGGTGCATTGAAAACGATTCATTTTCACCCACTTATCAAACCTGGTGAAGTTAATTACCAGTCCTGATGGTTGTCTAGCTAAATCGGCAACACCATTGCTATTAAAACAAACGCATGAAGCCTGACATCACAAAAGAAGAATACTGGTATCGACCCATCGCGCTTCACTTTCTACACACACAGTATTTTTACAAAATTGAAATTGATAATAAACATCGCATACGTACCAGAGCTACTGCAAAAAATGTCAACTTTGTGTATGACGCGTCAGCCGCAGTCTCAATGTGTCATTGAACAAGGTCTAACTTACCCAAAAAATTTAGGCTATTTTTTTTAAATTTACCGTATTAGGCCTACAATAATAACGGAATATATCAGGAAAATGTTTTGGTTCATGAGTTGTCTTGAGGAGGTCTAGCGCAATCTCCTTCCACTGCCACAAAGAGACAGCAATTGTTTGCTTACATGAGATTGTTTCTAAAAATAATTAAACAGCATACAAAAGCGCAACCCCACCCCCTCTCAAAAAAAAAAAAAAAAAAAAAAAAAAAAATTCAAAATAAAAAGCAGGGAATTGCTCTATAAGCCAGAGGCTTTTTTTTCCATAGAGATCCCAAATCATATTTGATGTATTTTATGCAATATTTAGGCAATTTTTTGGACTCTTGGGGCTTATAGATTGGCTTCTTTTCCAGATTACTTTTCGAAAGAAGGGTTTATTTTCAAAATGAATCATGAAAATATTTAGAATTGCTAATATAATACCAAGAAGTCGTTGAGATATACCGTCGTATAGCACTAATGAAGAATAAGTATCTCCTAATAGTTAGGGATAGGCCCTATTCCCTGTTATATTTAGTGCCCGAAAAAATGTACCATTAAAGGCCTGTTTATACTTCAACGACAACGATAACGATAAAAACTAAAAAGCGATTGTTTATATAGAAAATAAAAGAAATAAGAGAATTTTTTACACTAGGACGATTCGATAATTATTTATCGTGTATACGATAACAAAATATCTTAACAAATCAATTCAGATGACTTCATAATCATGTAAAAACGATAAAATCTTTGCTAACACTACGATTTTAATGTTTTCCATGATTATGACGTCATCTAATTTGATTTGTGAAAATGTGTTGTTATTGCATAACTAATAAATCGTTATCGAATCGTTCTAGTGTAAAAACTTCTCTTATTTCTTTTATAGAGGTGGTTAATGATCATCAAAGTATGTCGATTTGACAACGTTTGGTTTGGAAAACTATAATACCGTATTTATTCGAATAAACACCATGGGGCGTTTATTTTTGGCAAGGGGTGCTTTTTAGGGGCGTTTATTCGAGGGAGGCGTTTGTTGTGTGTAAAATGGATACGTGATATGAGATTTTTGGAAATCTTGAGGTTAAAGGATGAACCAGGGATATAGCTGAAATAAACGTCTCTTAAATTCACTGTAAACGTTGAACTACACATCCGTCAAAATCATACTCTAAATGTATTAATGCGTGATCTTAAAGACGTATTGATCCTCACCGTGTTGGAAAAAGTATTCGAAAAAAAATATCAAAACCAGTACTACTGGAGTGAACAGTACTGGTGTTGAGAATGATGTTGCTTCCATTCGATTTGTTCACATTCATTTAGAGGAACGTTTCGATGAAAGCATTTACTCATACTGTACAATAAAAACATAATGTTAATAGGGCCTTAATAATACGCTTTCATGATCATGAAATCAATTAACTGATAATTTTAATAGTTCTCGTTTCTTTGACATTTATTTTACAATACAAGCACCGGTGACTGTTCTATACTGTATCTCGAAAAGAAGCCCACACTATCTTGATTAGAAGCTTATGGGGATTTTGAAGATGGGCTTCGTTCCAAGATGGACTTGTTTTTCAAGATAATTCATTGCTCATTTGAATAAATTTAACATTTCAAAAAAAGTGTTCTTGTGGTACTGTACATCACTTGTGATGATATGCTATTTGGGATATTTTGTTGATTGATGAAGTTGGTATCATAATATAACACCAGAGAGCAGATAAAAATTAAAATACTGTATACTTTATTATCTTACACAACCAGTGACGTACATGTTTTAACATTATTTAGTAACGTTTAATTTGAAGCGTCATATTTATATTAGAACAATTAATTGTTAATTAAACAACACACAAATATGCCGTTCCTCATGTACTGGCACCAGGAGAAATGTGCTTGTCACCAGGTATTGACAACCGAATTAATAATAATGATAATATTTATAAATTTGTTTTGATGTATATTGTAACAATTGTAACAATGATTTTAATGATTTACCCTTTTAACGATTTTCTAGTATCTTTCTAGATTTTTGTTTTTGTTGTTTTTCTTTTGCGCAATTGTGCAGTTAATTGTTTTACTGTTCACAAGTGGAAAAAAAAACTTTTCTGGGTATTCCTTGTAATCAAGGTCTGTTGCAATTGCTTAGGATGCATTTTTAATCAATTGTATGTTTTTGTAAAATGTGACGACTTTGTTTACTAAAGAAACTTAAACTCAACGTAAGCAATCAATTTTTGAATTTGGTAAATTCATTTAAAATTAGTAATAACTTCAATGTTTTGATTTGCTAAAACTTTATTAAATATTATTAGATGTTGTTATGTTTTGTGGTTTCACTACTTGGTGAAGAGTTAAGTAGAGTAGGCATATTATGTAGCAAAATAATTTAATTACGGTAGTATCAAAAATTGCGAAACGAAATTGTTACCGTTCCCGATACAAAGAGTTGACAAAATCGTATGTTGACGCGTTTTGACTCCTGTTTACAAAACAGAAATAGACACACGTGCGACACACACAAGCCAGACAAACATAAATGAACTCTGCACACAGCACAGCTGCGAAGGAGGGTTTGTTTTGCAATGGTTTGTTGGTTCGTTATTATCATTTTGTCTCGTATACAGTACTTCATATATTTTGCATAGTGTTGATGAGGAAATAATTGAACCTATATTATAGACAGAACCTGCTAGTACTAGAAAGGCTAGGCCCTGGGCCTAGGCTAGATAGTAGGGAGTAAGACCGAAGCGGCCGCCAGCTAAAAAGTGTATGTAATGCCGGTGTATTGCATGCTCAAGTAATAAAACAGTACAGTATGCTCGCTAATCCAAACACACGCACGCAACATGTAGACATATGTGGCAAAGACAAGCCAAACCAGTCACTCGTCGCAAATCGTGTTTCAGAGAAAATGGCCAAAACATGTTGGAATGTCAAATTTTTAAAAATCCATTTTATTGCACTAAGAAACTACCCTTTATATCCCACACATCATTCTATGCTGTTATTTTCCCCATTATCAATTTTCACGCATGCCTTTTATTATTAATAATTCAGAAAAATTAATAATTATAACTATATATGTACTGTACTTGACTTTTCACTTCCAGGAACTGCAAGCGACTGTACTGTATTGTGCATGCATCACCGGCGTTCCATACACATACACATATTGGCAGCCGTATTGGCTGGTGGCCACTTTGGCTCGCGGCCTGCTTCGGGGCTAATTCGATAGTAGTAGGCCTAGACAGGGGGCCTACAACTTGCTGGATCTTCTTATGGCCTAGACAATAGACAAGGCCATTACTGTAATTAAGTCATATTATTTTCTTTTAAACAGATACATTATGTTGAAAAGGTCAGCAAGATGGTCAAAAATTGCCACTCACCAATGGATCTGCAACCACTTGATACAACAGCCATCAGTTGGTATCCAGTGCTGTTCCAACTACTGCACATCCCCTTCTAATCGACCATCAAGGTTCAATCCTATCAAAATACAGATGATATCAGAGTCCCTTCACAAGCAAATATTCAAAAACAGTACAAATACAGAACAAGAACCAAGAAAAGAAATAATTAACAAAAGCATAGAGGAATTAAAAGCACATGGTCTTTGGGGCAAAAAAGGATCAATACTTCCTGATGTACAACTTAATCTTCCTACATTACTGGGTGATAATATTGATGAACACTTTAGGGAAATTTCCAAGAGACAAGTAAAACCATATGTACGATTGGCAGGCTCGCTTACTAAAAATCCATTGCCTCCAATGCCGCAAGAATGGGTTATGCGCAGTGGATGGACTCGTTATGATGCAAAAGGTGGAATTGACAAAGTAAATTATCCTCGGGAAGATGCTGTTGTGTTTGATGTGGAAGTTTGTATGAGTGAAGGCAGTTTGCCAACATTGGCAGTTGCAGTTTCCCCAAAAGCTTGGTAATATTATGTCTTGCTATTTTTCTCTTCAGTAAATGTTCAAGAAAAAAATAATGAAATATTATAAGATGAATGAGAACAATAATAGAAGCTGCATTAGTTAAAAGCCAAATAATCAATAAAAACAAAGTCATCTTCTTTGTGTTAAAAAAAACCCATTAGTTGCATCATGAACTCATAATTGACAGTGATTATGTAGTAATTTTTTACTAATGTAGGTACTCGTGGTGTAGTCCAAACCTGACAGAAGACCATCTAGTGATTTCATCAAGTACGGGAACACCAAAGGCATCGTTGAAAGATTTGATATCTCTTGAGAACCCGACAAAAGGAGGTCAGCCTCGTCTAGTTATCGGCCACAATGTCAGTTATGATCGATCATATGTCAAAGAGCAATACTTCATTAAGGTAAAAAATATATCAATAACTCGATGGATTTGATCATCATTAGATATTGTTATCGTCATCATTGTCATCAAGCAAATTGTTGTCAACTTGTTTATAGTGGTCCTGCTAGGGTATATTCCAATGTGAACCTAAAACAACAAGAAGGAATCTTCACCATCAACTTTGCAACTTTAATTGCCATAGTAAATACACATCTCTGTTTCATTACATTTCATGTAAAGGTAATAAATTTTAGAAGACTCATACAAAATTGCAGTACATTGAATATATTATTATATGTACAGTACATTTCAAAATATTACTATTATACCTATATACAATTAATTATATATACTTCGATTATTTTTTTTATTACTGCTGCATGTTCAAGGACAATGTCTTGTTTTGCTGATAACAATAAAGATATCTTGTATCTTGTTCACTACAAGATTTATACAAAATTGCAGTACATTGAATATATTATATGTACATTTCAAAAATATTACTATTATGTACCTATATACAATTAATTATATATACTTTAATTATTTATTTTTTATTACTGCTGCATGTTCAAGGACAATGTCTTGTTTTGCTGATAACAATAAAGATATCTTGTATCTTGTTCACTACAAAATATACAAATTAAATAAGTAGGTAATTGGTTAAATCATGTTAATCATCACTTATCATAATCATCCTTTTGACCACAGTCGTCTAATGAAATGCTAACTGTACAATAACTGTTTTTTTTCCCCAATCCGTCCCTTCATTAGATTGAAAATCTGAAACAATATTCTTAATTAAGTCATATGTGCAAGCATTAATTATGTGTGATTCTTTTTCTTATCAGGGAACCAAGTTGCGATTTCTTGATACCCTAAGCTTACACATGTGCGTTTCTGGGCTGACAACATTCCAACGATCTCTTTGGAAAGCCTCAAGATCTTCAAAAGGTAGCAACAGCAAAGAAGTTCGTGAACACAATGAGAAAGTGAAACGGAAAACCGGCTTTGCGGTAAATCTTGAAACTTTTGCTGGCCCAGTAGCATACATTTGACAATTTTATTTTGTTTGTAGTTATCCACCCACAGTGGTGAAACCAGAATTTACCCAATAGAGAGGGAAGCGCCAATATTGCTAATTTGTTAAAAATTACATTCTCCCCTCCCACAAAAGGCTTAGTTACAAGCCTTTTGCTGTTTTATCATGTTTTTCATCTTAAAACATTATTATTATTATTATTATTATCTTTGTAAAGACCCATCATCCCTGGTTAGATGAGGGCAGTCCTAACAGCTTAGCTGATGTGTACGCCCTCTATAATGATGCAGGAAAGAAACTGGACAAGAGCAAGAGAGATGTGTTTGTAACTGGTACCATTCAAGATGTCAGAGTGCAATTTCAGGTAGGGGCATGTAAAACGGATCTATTCTATTGGACATAGGGAAGGTAAGAGGGATGAAACTACCTGAGGGATAAGTTAATACGTAATTTTATACAAGTGATGCTCAGGAAATCCCTAGGAAATGCAGCTATCATCACTTTCATCTTTAAGGATTCATTCCATTATTCAACATTTAGACTGACATCATGCATTATTGAGAGAGCAACTTAGCTCAGTAGACACTGTATGGAGATATTTACATTACCTTTGTCCTTGGATCAATTCCATCCACTGCACTCCTTGTGTTTTACCCACAGCACTGAAATATCAAGTTTTAGTAGTGCACCATATTTCTGATAAGACTTTTAAGCTATTTGTTCTGCGTGCAAATTAAAGAAATTGGTACTTTTTGGAAAAGAGTAAGGGATAACATGAAAAATATAAGTGATTTCTTTTGTTGATTTAGTTTTAGTATAGTTTTTTAACATGTGTTGGAATTGTGGTTTTCTTTATATTAAGGATCTTATGTTATACTGTGCTAAAGATGTTGCTGCAACTCATGAAATATTTGTGAAACTTCTAGAAGAATTTTGTGTGAGGTATGTTTAATATATATAAAATGTTAATCAATTTTAATAATACTGTAATGGATAAATAATATGGTATTGCCAGTATGGCCTTGAGAATCATGATGAGATATGTTTTTTTCTATAAAAAAAATATATATATATATAATTTTTATATATCAATGATTTGATTTCAATTTATTGATTTGAATTTATTTTAGACCAAAAAGTTACAAACAGCAAAGACAGAGGTTAAGAATAAAGAAAAAGAAAATTGATTAAGTGTACGAAATATAAAAAGAAAATGGCAAACCTAAACATTACTGTACATAAAGTACTGGTATTTATAAATACTTACTTTACTTAAACTCATCCGACTTTATCAGTGACATGGACAAAGTTCTTTCTCCAACTCCCTCGATCCATCATTGCCGTTTTCAAATCATCCCCTTCAAGACCAATGTTGTCTTCTTCTTACAAGTACATATCAGTGAAATGTGCTTCTATGCAATACAAAAATTAGATTTTTATCCTCAAACAGGGAGATTTTAATAAATATAGTTTCCTTTTCTAGGTTTCCTCATCCTGTTACATTCGCTGGGATGCTTGAGATGGGACAAGCGTACTTGCCAGTCAATCAGAATTGGGACCGGTACCTTCAAGAGTCACAAGAATCTTACCAGAACCTCCAACAGGAGATGAAGCTGTCGCTGATGCACCTTGCAAATGACGCCTGCTCCTTGTTAAACCATGAAAAGTAATTAGGGGATATGATTCTGATAATGAAGTAGAATTTCCAACCTGTTTCTCCCTACTCTTCCGCAACTGGTTTCTTCATGTCACTCAATCTCCACCTTAAATCTTCCCACTCCACTCTTGGGTGATATGATTCTGATAATGAAGTATAATAACCATAAGATAGTGATGATGAAATGATAATAGTGTTGATCGATATGACCATTGCATATACAACTATCTTTGTTGACTGCTGTTGACAGTGCAGTAGCGATGCCACAAGGTGGGCCAGGGTTACAGGACTTGATCTTGTCTGGAACCCTAAACCCCTACCTCAAGCATTTTTACAGTCTGAGAGTGCCATTTCTGGGCATCTTAAACATCTTCACCGAACATGGTTAGGCTGAGGTAAATTTGGACCCCTGTCAAGGGAACTTGAACATTTTGTTGGGGCATTGGAATTTCTGGGTCCTGTCAGGGCTGGGCCTTGGTGTACCCAGCCTTACAGCTGTTAGGAGTCAGTAAGAAGGTTTGTATGCTTCATTGTCTGCGTTCATCATCCTGTTTTTCCAAAGAGCCTGATGAATTTATTTTGCTAGCGTGATGTAAGCTTATGTAAGTTGTGTTTGTTTTAAAATTGATTGATATATTTGTTTGTGTTTGCTAATTATTTATATCATCATCATCATCATCATTATTTTCATTATTATTATCTTCCTCATAATTATAATTACATTCCTAATAATGAAATGAATATTACAAATACAGTTAAACTGTACTATATTGGTATCTGTGTTTAAATTCTATTAATAATAATAATTTTTTTTATTGTTAGTTATAAATCAGATCCTTGGCTATGGGATTTAGATTGGGGATGTACACAAATGAGATTAAAAAAGGAGACAAATTCAAATGAGAAAGGGAAAAAAAACAAAAAAGAGTGTAACTCGGAGAAGGAACTTGGAGAGAAGTGTACCATAGTAAATGAATCGGTGGAACAGAAAGACATACAGTCTACTAGTGAAGATGATGGGGACGAAGTTGCAATGCGTCAGCGTATCCAATCGGTCCTTGAAACGTCAAAACGTCTTCCAAAAGTTAAACAGCATATGACAGGATACCCAAAGTATGAATTTATTATTTAAATAATGCTTCTTATAATATTTAGATAGACCTTGGAAAATTAATTGTGGAGATGTGGCCCTACTAGTTTTAGGAGAGGGTGGGGTGGTGTTTACACTGTCAATTCTCAGAGTATTCTTGTGTAATTGAGGTGTTTTTTTGGAACATCTTAGGTCATTTCCGGCCATCTAGAGGTACAATAATCATACATATTCTTATCTCAACCCCAACAATGGTGGGACTAAAGGTATTGTAGACACTTCACCTGTCAAAGTCCCTCCCTTTCTGGATTCTTCACTGATCCCAGTAATCCACCAGTCAAACTTTCAGCTTTCTTACAATGATTTCTTATAACTATGATGCTTTTACATTTTAGCTGGTATCGTGAACTCTGCCCAAAAGCTAGAAGTCCTGATTGGGCGCCAGGCCCTGTCCAGATCAGCTCACAAGTACGAGTCACACCCAAGCTGCTTAGGCTCACTTGGGATGGTTACCCCTTGTACCATGATTTAAAGCACGGCTGGGGATTTCTAGTTCCAAAAAGTCAAGGAGACCAGGAAGAGAGATCTGAAATGGAATTAGAAGAAGAACCAAAAAATAAAGATACAAATGGAAAGAAGGAAAAACCAAATCCAAAATTTCCAGTAAAGTAAGAGCAATATCATAATTAATCTTTTAAATAAAACATTTCATAGTTCAGAAAATTGAAATAATGCTAATTATCATCTTCAAGGGTTGTCAGTGGCATCATTCTTCGGTCTGTATGGTAGCCAGTCACCAGGAGAGGGGAGCATGCTTTCGTTTTTTCTAAATAATTGATATAGATAATGTTGGCTTACCATATTTGGCTTGTGTTTTTTAGGGCTTTGCTGAGGATGTTAAGTAATTCTGAGAACTCAACTCTAAGAAAAAAAGAATGCATTCATAAAGATCAATCAAAAATAAATTCACAAGACACAGATGACCAGGTAAGTACGAAAAATAAAATGATAATAATTATAATAAGAGCACCCGGTAGAGAGCATATCTCTGCCCATCGCCAATATCTTTCTATTAAATTTTTTAAATTTTCAAGATATCCGATATGCAATGTTTTGCTTTAAATGGTCCATAATCGACACCAAAATATAATCATTCACTTTTCTAATGCCTTTTATTGTATCAGATGTACACCTGCCAATTTTTGACATGTTCTGGCTTAACTTACAGGCATGTTTTACTCTTATAGCTGACAAACAAAATACATGCAATGTATTGGTGTTGAAATGGAAATATTTTGAAAATAGAAATATGGGGATTTGGTTTTTAGCATCACATATGTAAAGATGAATTTAAAATATTGGGTTGGATTTATTCAGTGTAAACGAATGTCTAGAAGAAGACTTATTTCAAGTGTGGTCCTCCTAGTGGTGATTGGGCAGTACACCGGGAAAGAATCACCTTCTTTTTTCCAAAGAGTGTACTGTGTATTTCAGCCCTCCAGCTGAAACACAAGGAGAGGCAGCGATTGGAATTGATCCGGGATATAGAGATCTCCACGGTTCAGCGCACACACAGTGGCTACCACCAGATTAGCCCACAGAGCTCTCAAATCCCAATAAGTTACAGAAAAAGTGAAGTTAATAAATATAAAAATGCTGTACACCTTTACTGTAATTGCACTAATTTAAATATTCATCATATAGCTTATAGGGCGTAATAAAAAGTAAAAAAAAAATTATTTTTTTTCTGAAATTTCCATTTTTTCGTGGCAGCGGGTGTGCTAAATGGCCAAAAATAAAATTTTATTCGAAATCATCAATATCTGCATTCAGCGGGTTTGCTAAACAAGATATTAAAAAAAGCCTCGCCTAACCATGATAGAATTAGGCACCTATATAATTTTTAAAAGAGTGTAGACCAACTCTGGTTTTAAAATGCCAGCGGGCATAGTCAATTTTTTTTAGCATTATGATAGCAAGAATAAGGATGATGATAATAATAATATAAATCGTTCTGTTTTTTCCGCATTAAGACTAGTGAGGATGAGTCGGAGAGTGAGGGCGCTCAACATCAATCCAAACTCTACAAGGATGTACTTGTTGATGGCTGCCATTTTTACAAGCTTCCTCACAAGGTCGGTTGGTATCTTTTGATTACCGTACGTATAGTTCCATGTATGGGGCTTATTGCCATCCCAAAACCAGTATTAGTGACCAAAAAATGAAAATTTACTTTTTAATATATTTTTATTCTCCACATTTTAAGCTTAAAAAAATGATGGGTCATTTACTGGAATCGACTAATTATTGCCAAAGTTATGAGTAAAAGTATTACAGCTCTGTACTAAAGTATTCAATACTGCTACATTTTTATGCGAATTTCTCTGTTTAACAACTAGCGACAATATGCTGGTTTTGGGATGGCGAGCCTCATATAGGTTACTTATGGGAACAATCTACTGACTGTGATATTGATTATTGATAGACTGCATTTATTGTGATTTATTAAAACTCTGGTGTATATAAAAGAACTTAAATCTATTATATTATATTGATCTAGTAGATTGAATTGTTAAGTATGTATCTTTTAATGAACAATTGATTTTTGTAGGATGGTTTCCGGTTTAACGTTGGCAATCCCTTAGCAAAAGATTTCTTGAGCAAGATGGAAGACGGCACATTAAAAGCTTCTGGTGGGGCCCAAGCAGACCGCATTCTAGAAATCAACAAATTCATTTCATTCTGGCGCAATGCACAGAAAAGAATAAAGTGAGTTTAAGAACAAAATAAGCAGTGGAACTTAAACTGAATATTTATTGTCATAATGGTCATTTCAATTTGAAAGAATAACCTACGTGGTCACTGCTTCTGCCCCTATTCCTTCCAGAGTCATGGAGGGTTCCTGATGAGCTCAAGCAAAATTGCAGAAACCATTAGAAAAATGGAATTTGATAAATGATAAATAGGAACGGACAATTAACATCTGTTTGTATACAAATACGAGGAAAGATTCCAACCAGAAAAAAAAATATGATGACCTGATAAGGATGATGACTGCTCGAAAGTGAAAGTGGGATGTATAGCAGTTGAAGATTCTTTGTTAGTTGTTTGTACTTCATTTATTTTAGTTTGTTTCGATAATCAATTATAAATACACATAGAAGTCCTTGAATTATGTACTTATTTATTTTCTGGGTTTTTTATCTGTAGTTCTCAGTTTGTTGTTGGTCTTGAGAAAAATCATCTTTCTCAGGCCACAACTGAAAGCGAGCTTTACGATGAAGATAATTTCTATGGCGCTATCCTACCACGTGTTATAACAAGTGGAACAGTTACAAGACGAGCTGTCGAACCGACCTGGTTAACAGCGAGTAATGCGCGGGTAAGTATATCATCCTGTCTTCTTCTTAGCTGTCATTCGCTAAAGCTTTGTCCTGATTATAAAATTTTCTTTGAAAAAAACTTGTATGCCCATATATAGTCATAATGTGCCTATATATGGTCATGATGTGATGTCATGATGACCATATTTAGGCATGTCACATGTTTTTGTCAAATCAAATTTGATAGTCTGGACAGTCTTCATGTGTTTGCTCTTCGCTTCTCACCACATGATCATTATTTGTTTAACGTAGGAAGATAGAGTTGGTAGTGAGCTGAAGTCGATGGTACAGGCGCCCCCTGGGTATCATTTTGTGGGTGCTGATGTTGATTCGCAAGAACTATGGATCGCTGCTCTGCTAGGCGATGCCAACTTTTGTGGTTTCCATGGTAAATTATTACATTTATTACTTGGTATCATATGCACACATGTTTGCCATTTTTCTTAAAATTTTACAGATATATTTTGATAATTCCAACAAAACTTGTTGTGGTATTCCTATGATAGTTATATTGTATAATTAAATACCATATTTGCTTTTATTTTTATTTCAAATGCTAGGCTGTACAGCATTTGGTTGGATGAACTTGCAAGGGAAAAAATCCAATGAAACAGACCTCCATAGTAAGACAGCTAGTACTGTATCCATCAGCAGAGATCAGGCTAAGGTATATTCCAAACAAACCCCCTGATTGTGTATTTATCAAATGGCTTCTTCATGCCTTTCAAAAGCCAATAAATAATGTATGGTAGAGAGATTTGCCAAATTTTCTCAGTCAGAGACCATGTCGGGCTAGGTGTAAACAAGTGTATACACCTATAGTCTTGAGCAATATGTTATATTTTACTAGTTGTATACTTGATCTAGAACGAACATGAAGAAATAATAATAATAATTCCAAAGTGGCAGTTCCAAATCATTGCTTATTATTACTCCAGGTCATTGGGTAACATACAACGGCAAACCAGCACAAAGTGCAACCTTATCTACCCACTGAGGAGATACTTAGTCGTGCGCGTATACTCAGTGCATAAAACTATTACATTCAATTTCATAACATCCTACCAACTACCTATTCATACTCCTGGGTAGAGAGTGACAAACATTGATAAAGTGTGCTTTGCACAGTGAGAGTTTTGAACCCTGACCCCAAGGTTGGGTTGGGCGTCCAGGCCACAACCAATACACCAACTGTTTCTACTTCTAAGAAGTCGATATTAGATATTCATATACCAGGCAGCAGTTGAGAATTTTGATTTCTCACATTTCAATCTGGAATATACAGATGATCCCAGCTTCAAAAATATTAGAATGTCAGCTCATTTGAGAACAAATTGAATCTGAATTCATTTAATTTACAATCAAGTGCTTTATATTTATATTAGGTATTTAATTATGGGAGAATTTATGGAGCTGGTCAGACATTTGCGGTGCGTCTGTTGATGCAGTTTAATCATCGGTTGGGTTTGATGGAAGCAAAGGAAAAAGCAAAAACAATGTATGAGGCAACGAAAGGAACCAGGATGTAAGTCTTTGTGATTCAGTGCACACATAACCATCAGTTTAGCTTCTATGCTTCTGCCTTAAATCCACTCAAAATGGAGTGCACTGGATATTACAATTTTTAGAAGGAATAATGTGATTAGCAAGATCTCTAGTATGTATACAGTAAAACCCCTATTTGGACTAAAAAAAGTGTCCCCTTAATAGGGGTGTCCCCTGAATAGGGTTCCCTTATAGAGGGGACACTGAACAAAAACATGAAATTTTCCCCTTAATAGCGTTTTTTGGCATGTTTTCATACAAGGATGACATACGTTCTTTATAATTTTATTTTTGTTGACATAAAAATCAGTTACAGTAAAATTTGAACTAATTTATAGCAATTATTTGCAATGCAAATACAATTCATTTATAATATGAAATTAGCAGAAATGTAATTAAAACAACAGTAGTTTTATATTTTCCAATATTATTTCATGACACAATGTTAATGACCAAATATTATTCTTTTCTTTTTTTATATATTGGATTTTTCTATTGGATAGATGTAGAGTTAATAGAGTAATGACTTAGAATTAAGGCTGCATGTTATGGTATGGATTAGAATCCTATATGAAAGAAAATAATCAAAAATTGTACTAAATGCTCTTTTGATAATTATTATGAATTCATGTAATTGTACTGTAATATTGTAAATAGATCATGTTCAAAGATCATGTTTTGTTTAAAATGTTTAAGATAAAGGTGTATAATCTTTGTTACAGTGTACATACAGTGTTAAGAACTAAGTGCTGTTACTTGCATATATAGAAAAAAGGGAAAATTGTTGCCTCCACTATTTAAAAAAAATATTTTCATTTATATTCCTCAAAATTTTGGCATTTAAGGTAATTTATTACTTTGGGTAATTAGTTCTTGGTAATGCTTTTCCAGACTATTAATGATTTTTTTCTTGCACCTTTTAGGTTTAAACTGACCGAGGCAGGAATTGAAGCCATGGAATCTGTTGACTTGCAACCAGACCGAGACAACCTCATTGGCTACAAAACACTCAGAACTTTGGCCAGGCGCCTCAACACCAAGTAATCATTTATGTTAATTAATATTTTGTTTACATTCAATAAATCAGAAAATGTACTTAGCTGTTTGACATGTAGGTTTATGGTGTTCAGTTTTTTTTTTCATATGCGGGAAAACTTGTTTTATGAAGAAAAAAATTGTTTTACAAGATCTTAAATTAATTAATAAAGTCAATTCAAAGCTTTATGCAAAGTCATTACAAAAGATGTTTGAAAAATAGGAATATTTACACTACAAAGGCTACAAATAGTTTTTTTTTTCATAGCCAAGAACTTGTGACTGAGGATCTAACAGAGGGAATGCAGTGGACAGGTGGCAGGTAAACATTTTATCAAATATAGTTTGAAAGATCAGAACCTTAATTTAAGACATTATAGTTCTTTCTAAGTCAATTAACCCGTGTCTCACAGGCAGGGTCACCAAGAGTTGACTTGGGCCCTGTGCCTCTTATCTCCCGTGGTCCCAATGGCAAAAGTGGCAGAGCTTTTGTGAGGGTTTTGGAAAAAAGGCTTTTAGGTATTTAGATATCTAATCTAAATTATTGGAGTAGCCCTCCAAAATGAATGACATCTGTATCTCTCTAGTGGCCAAGACAGCTGTGGGGCACTTTCCACCTACTTCAATAGTTAGTTACTAACTATATAGATAGGAAGGAACTGTGATATTGTATACATTGCTGTAATGTTTTAAGTAATAAAAATTATCCTGGATTTACTGTAACCAGGACTGGAACTTTCAGCTCCATACAGCTGGTATGGTGTTTTATCCACTTTATTAAAACGCATTGGCGTTTCTATACAGAAAGTCCTATGTTTTTGTTCCGTAGTGAGTCAGCCATGTTCAACAAGCTTGAGAGCATCGCTGACTCTGCCCAACCCAAGACGCCCGTCCTGCAGTGTCGCATCACTCGAGCTTTAGAACCAGATAGTGTGAATAATGAGGTAAGAGAAATATTGTATGTAAATGTGTAGTTTGATAGATTAAGTGGAGATTGTCTTGCATAGTGGTTATAAGATGTGGCCTTGGAGCGCATGTATCCTGGTTTGAAAGTTGCCATCTTCACTATTTACCTTGGTGTAAAATCCTATACTGTAAATAGTTTACCTATAAGCTGTTTTTCCTGTGTATGCATAATGAATCTCTGCTTAAACAAGAACTCATTTACGTATTTGGAAAACAGTAGAATTGTGTGTGTCCTAGAGTACTGGCAAACTTGCTTGCTTTGCTGTCATTCCTGTGGTATGTGAAATGTTTGTGCTAATAAAAGGGATTTCTGCTTTATATAAGATGTGATATATTTCCTATTGACAATCATTAGCCCATCATGTGCCTACATAAACAATCAAACCTACTGTGCAAACTAGTCTTTAAGTGCTATACTATTGCTTTACTTTACTGTTTATTGTAATAAACTGGTATGGCTTACCATATGTTGTTATTATTATAAATTTTAAAGGAGAGTGGAAGGAAGTTTACACAATATAGTGGGATGGAAAAACAGGATGTATAAATCTTATGCATACATGAGTAAAAAAGGATATAATTATAAAGTCATAACAACATTCTTTTAATTATCAGTTTCTGACGAGTAGAGTGAACTGGGTAGTTCAAAGTTCAGCCGTCGACTACCTCCACCTGATGCTTGTCAGCATGCGGTGGTTGTTTGAGGAGTATGAGATTGATGGCCGATTTTGTATCAGTATTCACGATGAGGTGCGATATCTTGTGAACAGTGAGGATCGTTTCCGTGCTGCTCTGGCCCTTCAGATTACCAACATTCTCACTCGGTCTGTGTTTGCGTATAACGTTGGTATGCATGATTTACCTCAGGTAAGTTTCACATGTTGCAAGCCTTTAGTGAATATATGCTTCCATGGATAATATATCTGCATTTCACTGCTTCATAATTTTTTTTCTCATCAACTCAATCCAGTCATAATATATCATTCTCATTGTTGCTTTCATCATTATAGTCATTATTGTCACCATACCATCATAAACATCATTCACCGTGAACATCGTTATCCTATTCATCATCAACACCATCGAAACAGACTTCTTCTGTATGTAATTGTCATATTTCTAAGTATTTATAATTGAAAACCAATTAATTTTAATCTTTTTTATAGTCCGTAGCATTCTTCAGTGCAGTCGACATTGACACAGTTTTAAGGAAAGAGGTCACAATGGACTGCAAGACGCCCTCTAATCCCCACGGTCTCCAGAAAGGCTACGGCATCTCTTTAGGTAAGATATTTAAAGTTATTCAACGTATATTGGCTCTCACAAGTTGATCACATATATAGCGTGCAAGATTAGAGAATGTGCATTTACTGTAATTCCAACTGCTTCTTTCCACAAAGAAAATAAATACACTTTAGTTTATTTAAATCCTGAATTACTGTTGAAAGGCAGAATATAAAATACAATTGTTGATCATTCCCTTGTGGGATTAGCTGGATCTGTTGCAATTTTTAATTCCTGTCTTCAACTGTGTTCATACTACCAAGCTATATTTTACCAAGTGTGGGATTTGCCCATATATGGTAATAATTATAATAATAATAATATAGGGATTTATACCACGCTGGCGATGCTGTTATTATTATTATCCCTGGTTATTGGATCCATACTTAGCAAACCAGCACAACTCACAAGTGAAACCTTCTCCACTCCCTGAGGAGTACTTCTAGTCATGCCTGCAATTTAAGTCCAAAAAAAAAACCTTTTTGTGTTGGCCACATTTTGGGAAAATCCAAAAAATTGGTAGGTCGGTAGGGAAAGTTTTAAATTTTTTTTTAACCAATAATGTGTGGAACTTTTCAGTAATAAAAAGATCTGTAAATCATTGCAAACTGATACATTTTTGTGACTTTTGTGGTCCTATATAATTATGAGCAATGAAAAGTTTTATTTGGTGGCAGTGTATATCACTAATTAAGGAGTGATAATTAAGGAATCTATTACAAGTTAATGACACCGCCTGTAAGTTAAACCCCTTCCCAAACAGTGTGGCGATTGTTGTACTGTACAATAAGTTTTTATTCTGGTTTTAATTTGAGAGCACTGACATTGATTGGCTGATGGAGAACAATGGAAAAGTCAAGGGGAACTACAGTACTAGAGTGTAATGTGTTTTTTTTTTTTTCGGCACCACTCACAACCTAGTTCCTAATTCCAGGGAACAGTGAAATTACACTGTAATTTCACTGTTCCCTGCTAATTCATATCTATGTCATTTTCAACAATCATACAGACTGGATATACATCTAAAAATTCAACAAATTTTTATGATCTCCTGAACTCTATTTAAATTACAACTAAAATCATCCCTCAATCTCAATTGGTAATCCACTACATCTTCTGATTTAATTTTTTTATTTTATTATTGTACTCTTCATAGAAGTCTTCCTATAGCCAGGCTTGTGCTCTACGAATCAAAATTGTATACTATATGGTACTAAAGAAAACAAACATTTCAAAATTTCATAATATGCATAATTTTATTTTCTAATCTCAAGAGTGACAAGCCGCACAAAATAACACAAATCAATTATTTTTACAGACCAAGAACAAAAGCTTATATAAATAGGATAGGAATGCTTTTAACTTCAACAAAAATTATATTGTTTTAAAAAGTGGCAGTCTTTTGTATGATTTCAAAAGAAAACAACCAATACCTATGTGTTAAAACGTTTAGGTTTATACATAATAGATGGTAAACATTTACTGGATTAAAAATATATTAATTTATTTATAGCGCATAATCAAAGACAATATCAAAACAGCAACAAAAATCACCTCATCACTAATCCCAACAACTAATGAGAAAGATAAGGCCTGGCACTCATTGCATTGTAGGACCGCTGGCCGACCAATCCAACTGTGCTCCCTGAAAGCACTAGACGATGCAATATACTGCCTGCTGATTGTCAGTGTAGTGCGAACGAATCAATCAGTTGCGTGCGTGTCGTGGCGTTCTCCATAGAATTGCATCGGCCAGCAGTGTGTGCCCGGCTTGATGAAACAACAATTTTTGATCATCTCAGACCAGTTTTCATTGTTACATTTCTGCAACTTGGGTGAAATAAAATGTACAATACATTAAAAAAATTATTTATTATTAATTGTGGGAAAGGGGAATGTGTCTTGGAATGAACCACACTGGAGTTTGTGAAGAAAGTCATAATTGGGAAAAGATAGCAAAATAAAAATGAAAAATTGAATTGAAGAGTTAGATAATAATAATACATTGCCATTTATACAGCGCATATCGAATAGACTGCGTCTATGCGCTTTACATCAACGGAATGAAAAGCAGATTGGGATATGATGATAAAGATTGTCAAAACTAATTTCCAGTAATTTGGTGGGATTTCTGTAGGATTTACATCACTAAATTTATCCATTTTGTTATTATGTAAACATTTGTCTTTCTGGACAATACATACTGATTAATGCAGATATGCGAATAATATTAACGTAAATATGGATATACTGTACAAATATTATATGCTTAGGATATAAATTTAAATATTCAATACTGTAGACATACCATATTAATCATAGTCATGAAAATACTGAAAATAACTCTGCAATTTACATTTTAAAATAAAGTAATAAAGTATCAAAATATTGTAGGTCTATATCAACCAATTAAATTATTGGAAATTATAGGTTGCCAATCATTTTAAAATTTATTTTATACATTATACTGTACCATAATTCTTCCTGGCATAGTTTTGGGTTGGGAGATGCTTCAAGCAAGTTTAATTTATTAACTAAATTATTTTCATATTGTTCTTCAATTACACTAGACTAGAATCTATTAATAAATCTAAATTATTTAAATATAATGTATTTAAGTTCATGTAATTCTCTATTAATTTGATTAATCTATTTTTATTAAAACAAATGGATCATAATAATAATGTTATTATCCAAAACATTAAAATGAAAATACTTCCTATAAAATTGTATAATATATCAGCCTTATACATATTTATAAATTTTTCATTATTTTTGGTATCGTTAAGATTCGCAATTGATCAATTATAAATGTGTTCAAGTATATATATATATTCTCCAATAAAAAAAGAAACCTTTTAAAAGGTCACCAATTAGAATATAATGTTACATGAAACCATAAGGAAACATTGAGAAACTAATTATCATTCCAAATGGCTATCGGAGACTATATTACATCAAAAGGGAAAGTATACAATATGCAAATTACTAGTGTGGATATGCCCGGACATTCTGTGCGTTACACGTACCTTTTCCGTGTTACGCTGTATGCCCTACTAAAAATTAAATATTAATAAAAATCTATGCCTATCACATTGCCACAAAACTTTCAAATCTTAAAAAGTATACTATATATTTTTTAATGTAACTGAAATGTTATTCTATAAAATTATAACACAATAAACACAGGTTAAAATGGGAAAAAAAGCCAATCCATTATCATTACTTACAATTACATTACTGAAACAATTAAATTTAAAAACTGTCTTTTGTACATTCACAGTCAAAGTTGTATTCAATTTAAGTACTTTGGTCTCATATAGCCGCTTTGGCATGAGACCACATCAATGCATGTATCTGTGAATTTGTCTTTTTCTATGATTGTCTTTTTGTAATTATGCTTTTATGTAAATCCCATGCATTCAGTTTTTACTGTAATTTGTGGATGTTTTTGAATTAAATGAAGAAATAAATGAAGAAATAAATGTACAGTTTGTCGAAAACTGCACAAGATTATTCATGTGATCAACATTTTATACTGCGATCACTGACCTAACACTTGACTAATGTAATAAATTATGTAACAAATGGCTAAAGCATTCACTGGTCTAACACATGGCTAATGCGATCGTGGACCTATCACATAGTTAAGTATGATTGGTCAAAGACCTAATACATAGCCAGTACGATCATGGACCGAACACAAAAGTGCATCTATAGTATAAACACATGTAAATGTGCATCAAAGTCGTAATTATAATTCATAATCATATTTATAACTCTTTTTTGTAAAATCCTATTAATATGAAAGAATAAGGTTCTTATTTTATTTCATGACAATTAGGAATGCTATATAAATTATTTATAAAAACAATAACAGAAAAATTAAATGTCTAAAACAACCTATGAATATTAAGCATAGAACTAATACAGGGGAATAATCTTAAACTATCATCACAACTAATTGCTTCAAAAGTATACAGTACTGTTTACAGTATCGTATCTAGGGTATGTGGGAGGGGCGCACAAAAATGTATGAAGCAAAAAAATCACTATGCGAGCTAGTTCCCCTCATTTAATCACCAAGGCCCCCACCCCCATTTTAAGATTGATACGCCACAGAATGTTTAGGAGCTTTTAAAGTTGTAATAAAAACAAACTTTTAGTATACTTGCAAACACTGATAAATACCAATTCAAATTCTAAAACATAATTGTGCAAGAAATGACATTTTAGCAATGGTATCAGATTTGCATTTAAAATACTTGGAAAAGTTAACAAAATAATTTCACATCCAAGTACCGTATTTTATAAAAACATGAGACGAGAAACAAATTTAACAATAATAATGCTTTAGACTTCTATAGCACAAAATGCCAGAGCTTCAATGCGCTTAACGTATAATTAAAAAATATAAAAATTAACCCCTTCAAAAATCAAGATGGAAACAGATCAGTGACTCTCATACTTAAACTTCATCAACTATTGCTGAATATACCATTCTACTATACACAAATGCATATACAGTAGTAACATATTTTTACTGTATCAAAAGACATTTCTGAGATGAGTGATGCCATGGAACTGCCTATGGTCATCATATGAAAGACATGGATTAGTATTAATTTTCTAAATGTTCAGAGTGTTAAGAAGTACTTTTTTTTTTTTTAAAGAAAATTCTTACAACTTCGTAAATTTAATTTTATAATGATATACCAACTGCACTTTTAGTTAAGTGGAATCTATTGCAATTAAATTGTGATACTGTATAACTGGGTGAAAGTTAATTTTCTCTTACTCTCGGATTTTTTTAAGTCTAAAGAGCTTATGGGATTGATAAAAAGGGGAAATGAAAACAATTTATTTCACTTTTTGTTTCAAAATCATAAAATTTTAGTTTACAATGTTACAGTACAGATTGTAGTCAAAACTATGTTGACCTTGTATTCATCCTCATCCTTCTAAAATCCTACATCCTGAATTTCTATAGTCGGTCATACAGCACATTACAGTTTACCTCATTTACACTGTATCATGTATTCGTGTGAAAATGCCATTTAGCAGTAGTAGACAGGCAAATTGTCATGGTAATAATGGACAAATGCCAATCCTAAATGAATTTCATCAACCCTATAATTGGTCATGGGATAAATCAATCAGTATGTAGAAAACTAAATATCCCAAGGCATACAAATAACATTATCAATATAAACACAGAGTTGAATCACCATGGTTACAATTCTCATACAAATTGGATTAATAACCAGTGGAATGAGAACAGCTTTACATACTGCCCTATGATATTTGTATGATGTGTACTTAAATTACTTAATAACTACAGATAAAATATGATATCAAAAATGTCCAATAAATATATTAAATACATAGAAAAATTGTATGTATCATAAAAACATGCAGTAAAGAAATTTTAGTCAAACTTACATAATTATCAAGATAGACATTTTCATTATAGTCAATATGAAAAGAGCGATTATTTTTATTTTTAAAAAAAATGTACATTGCAAGAAATTATGGCATGCCTTGTACAAATATGAATTGCAAATTTTTATTTGAATGTAAATTTTTTGAAAAACAGTTGTAAAAGTTTAAAAATCTGGAATTGTGAAAACTCCTTCAATTTGTTGGTACTTTGGTTTTGTAATATTTTCAATTATTATTTTCATGGAATTATTAAAAACTCTGGAAGATTAAAAAATATATAAACTTCCTCTGAAAAAATTGATGGATGCCATTGCATTTAGCATTCATCCATATTGTATGGGTTTAGCAGTGGAAGCATTTCTTCAGCTAACTCTTGTTGGTTTATCTCCATCATAGCCTCCTCCATTTGATTTCTACCACCTGCTGTGTTTACTTCCATATCCTCAATTTTCTTCATTTTCTCATCCTGATCATTTAAATTTGTTTGTTCTGGCAATGGCACTGGAGGAAATCCTTGACTTTCTGTTGCTTCGTTGCTAAAGGTCAGGGTACGTTTTGGTGCTTCCAAACGAATATGGCGTCTGCGTTTTATCATCCTTGCGCTATTATTCAACTGGGCGATCATTTGTACGATACGACGAGTAGAATCAGAGTTTGAGCTTTGTTCATCTCTAGTGCTGTCACTCTGATCCTTACCGTCACCAAACCACTGAGGTTGAGACTGATCTAAGTTCCCAAGTTGATTATCAAAATGTTCGTCATTCTTTGTATTTAAATCCTTGGATGATACGATAACTGGTGTTGCTTTGGATTGACTACTGTCTTCCTGAATACTCTTGGTATTCTTAAGTAAACTTGCATCATCATTGGTTGGTTTTCGTGCTGATAAATCAATTGCATCAATATTTGTATCGGCTAATGTAAGGGAGATATTTCCATTTGGCTTAGGGTCTTCAATCCCATGTTTAACCTTCATGTGCCGTTTCCAGTTCCCCTTCAGGTTGAACCGACTCGAACAAACACGGCACTTGAAGGGTTTTGAGCCGCTGTGGAGTATCATATGGTTTGTCAAGTTTCGTTCTCGGCTGAACGATCTTTGGCAGACGCTACACGTGTATGGTTTGTCTTCCCGATGCACAATCATATGTGCTTGTAATGTGTGCTTTTCTTTAAAAGCTTTAGGGCACAGTTCACATTTGAAAGGGCGGAGCTCGCTGTGTGTGCGCAAGTGTCGTTTAAGGTTTGCATCCTGGCCAAATCCGCGCCCACATTTAGGACATTTATAAGGCTTCACTCCCATATGAGTAAACATATGCTTTTTCAAATGAGCAACAAGCATGAATTCCATTCCACACTCTTTACAAATATGAGGGCGTACTCCACTGTGTCTCATCTTGTGCAACTGTAACTGGCTAGGGTAGGAAAATTTGCGTTCACACTGATCGCAATCGTACCGACCATGGTCACCTTGTAGCAGAAGATGCCGTTGAAGATGTCCAGGTGTCGCAAAGTCTTTCCCACACATGACACATATGTTATTCTTAGCTGGGTGTGGTTTAGCCATATGGGCACGGTATTCGCTTGGATAAACAAATTTTCTCCCGCACTGATCACATTTAAATGGCGCATCATCACTATGACGTATCATGTGCTTTTTAAGGTGTCCACTCTGTTTAAAAGTTTTGTTACACACCTGACAAGCATATAAGTTCTTTCCTCCCATCCGAATTGTACGGTAAAGTCCTTTTCGTGAAATCCCACCAGTGCCGGGTATAGTACTGACATTATCTGCTTCAATAACAAGGCCTTTGGTGTCATCAATACCGCCCTCCTTCTTCTCGCTATGCTTTAGTTTAATGTGAGTTTTTAAGTTACTCTTCAAATTAAAACGTGTGCCACAGAAGTTACACCGGAACGGTTTGATCCCGTTGTGCAATCGTTCATGACTTTCCAAATTAAATTTACGACTAAAACCTTTTCCGCAGTGTTTACAAGCAAATGGTTTATTTTGGCTATGTACAATCAGATGAGCTTTAAGTGTCTGTTTCTGTGCAAAGGATTTTCCACAAATTTCACATTTATAAGGCCGCAAGCCAGTGTGAATAAACATGTGACGCTTAAGGTTCCCTTCAAGACTGAAAGATTTCTTGCACTCAGGGCATTCATGCTCCTTCTCTCCTGAATGCGTTTTTTGGTGTTGTTTAAGATGCGTAGGTTGTAAAAATTGCATACCACATTCTCCGCAAATGTGTGGACGAATGTCTTTGTGCCGTTTTATATGTGCAGATAATTGATGAGGAAAAAGGAATGTTTTGTTGCATTCTTCACACTGCAGTGGTCCGTGGCTTTCATGGTATGCCATGTGCCGCTGCAGATGGCCTATTGACGAAAATGTTCGTCCACAGACCCCGCAGCAGTTATCTTTGGTGGGATGTGGTTTCGCCAGATGTGCTTGTAACTCACTAGCATATGCAAATTTGCGTCCACACTCACTACATACGTATGGAGCTATTTCAGAATGTGTAAGCATATGGCGTTTCAGATGACTTGTTTGCGTGAAAGAGCGACTACATACGTTACAAGAATGTGGTTTCACCTTTTCGTGAGTCAACTTATGCGTGGCAAGATGTCCTTGCTGTCGGAATGATTTACCACAAATGTCGCAAGAGTATGGTCGCACACCACTGTGCGAGAGCAGATGACTCTGTAAGCTGTGTTTTGATTGGTACATTTTAGGACATTGATTACATTGCCAGTGTCGCTTCCCTTCATGTTCAATTGTAAAACTTTCATCTAGAAACGTTGGAGTGAAGTTACTCGGTCTTGTTAAAGATACGCTAGCCTTCACGTCATTTAATACCTTCTTTCTTAGCTTCTTTTGAACAAGTGATGTTCCAGCCAATTCTTGTTCACTACGAGTCCATTTGTTAGAATCTGTTGGCAAAATTGCATCACTATTTTCATCATACTTGTGTCCCTCAGCTTCTTGTTTTATGACAGGTGCTTCAGAGCCTGTTTCCTGGTTTCCATCTTCCTTCAAAGGTGAAAATCCCACATTTTCATTCTCCATTTTAGAGATTATTTCTTTTCACTATCACAGATAAGATCTGGCATTTCACATAATTTTTTTTTCTTAAAGTCTGAAATGAAGACAAAGATAATAAGGATATTGAATTTTAAATTAACAAGCGCAACAACAATTATTGAATAAATGTGATCATTTTTAAACATATTTTGGAAATCATCAATCATAATTAATATACCTTCTAATTAATGATGTGAACAATGCTACAATGAATTTTTTTTCAATTGGAAAAAATATAGTAAAAACCTAATGTGAATACTATGCTCAGTGAGTCCTGAATTCTAACAAACAGCCCAACTGTACAATACATAATTACTTGCATGATCTGGGAAATGTATGCATTCATTCATTGGTAATACTTTGGTAATTAAGGTACCATTGAATGAATACAATATCGTACATTATCTTAAATGAAAGAATTAATATCTTGAATAGAAGAGCTCCATGTGAGTGCCTGCAGATGCACGAGCTTTATAATATCAAAATCTTCTTATGCTTGGTGGTTCGATCACACATTATAATCATAGAATTCAACATAAGAAAATAAATTTAGAATCCAAAAATTGTTGTATTCAATTTAGAAACAAAAATTAATTTTATATAATATTAAAAGCAAAACACTTTAATTATGTAAAAACAGTCACTGTTTATGACTCATTTAAAGTTAATTTAGTGGCAGAATTTTAAATAGAGGGTATACAGTATATAGGGAGGACTTTTACTGATTGGGAGTCAATACCACCTTATCCCCACCATAGTTGAGGGAGATTGTACAAATGTTTATGGCTATTTTACTCTCAGACATTTGAATGCAATTTATTTACTTATTTATTTATTTATTTATTTGCAAGAAATTATAAGTATGGTTTTGAAGTGGCACATTATTTAACTTCAAATATTAAATTCCAAAGTAAATTATAAAATTCATTAACAATCATTATTTTTTATTTGTATATTCTCATCTCAAATTAATCATCAAAATAATTGTGTTAATGACATACATGATTATTATTATTATACTGTACTAAATACAGTCTTAACATTTATTATATTATATTATTTGTATTACAGTCAGCTGCATCGTACAAAAGAATATTTCCTGGACAATAAACAAAGTAAATTTCAGTCATAAAGATTCTATGTTCCTCATCAAAATGTTATTTTCTTTGTTCTGGACATAAAAGAATCTTTAATATGGTTTCAATGCTCGCTTCTATAGTAGTGTCCTTGTTTCAAGTATCAGTAAACAGTTGGCCTTTCACTTATATAGAATTCCTTCATTTTTAAAACATACTATAATTATTTTCTTTCATCTTGCACTAACAGGCATGCACTTATTGTTAAAATAAAAAAAGTGCTTTACATCCGCTGTAAAATGCATGAACCAAAATGTACGACATAGTACATAACTAAGCAGTGATTGTAAAAAATCTTTAAAACTTTACAAGCTCTGAGAGATATTTTCTCGATGGACAAAATCGAAAGTGACAATGTTAATCCAAATCTGTATATTATGCCAAGTTTACAGAAACTTTCCCAGGAGTTAAATACATTGGATTCCAATTATATTAAGAGGATGAAAATATAAGGCATGGCATGAATAAACTTAATAAAAAATAACATAAAAAAAAAGTATTTTAAAAGAAAAATAGATTTTGATTGATTCAATGGTTAAACAGAATGATGTAGTGGTTTAATGGTTATTATTATTATTTGACATTTACAGTATATACCGCATTTTCTTTGCAGATACAAAGAAAGCACTTTCTTTTCCCTGGTCATTGGGTCCTCATGTGTAAGTGTTGCTGCTGGTAAACAGCACAGGAGCAGGCAACCCCACCAGGTACCCATTTATACCCTGGATGGAGAGAAGCAATTGCAGATTATATTAAAGTGTCTTGCTCAAGGACACAAGCAAAATGTAGTAAGGGATTGAAACCAACACCTCGAGGTTGGGGAACCAAACCATTCCCGCTGCACCAAATTGCCTCTACTGTTCTGCTTATCAACATTGATTTTGGAGGTTCAATCCCTTGCTGTGCAGTTTGCACGTGCCATTGGTCAAGACAGTTTTTTGTGTCTTTCTATTCATTCAATCATCCATCCATTCATTCATCCATCCATCCATCCATTCATCTATTATCTATCCATTTATAATAATAGTTGGACTTGTATAGTGCATTATGCAAAAAAGCCTCTATGAGCTTGGTGACTGAGCTATTTGAGTTATTATATTGTTATTTCAATTGATTGATTCATTCATTCACCCAACCACTCATTTCATCAATCATTCATCCATCCATTCATCTAATTATCCAACAGTTCATAAAAATAAAACACAATACAAAACGATAGAATATTTTTTTATGGAGACAATTTATACAACACAATTGGCTGGGATTAGCAATAGTGTTCGTAGCACCATGGCTTCAAGCATATTAACATGGACTAAGGATTACAAACATTACAAAAAGAAGCAAAACAAGATTATAGACAAATATAAATAAATTTTTAATTAGGCCAGAAATTAGTTGGATGAACAAGAGAATTTAACATTACATATGTTAATTGGTCTTTGAATGAAAAAGAAAAATCATAAACATAACATAAAATAAAATGGTTTTAAAGGGACTTTTTTTTTTTACTGTTATTGATAGTATCAAGCCCTACTATAGAGGAAAAGGCAATTAAATAAGATTTATGCAACCATGATAAAAATCAATTACATTAATATGGATCCTGTAATTTCAGACAACATATTGTTGCGTGGGCAAGGAATACTTCTTTCATTTCTACTCTTTTAGAAATCCATCATATTTCTACATGAATAAAAGCTCAATTCAAGTGTGTTTACATAAATGTACAGTATGCCATGTACTTCCTCTCAATAAATACAAAAAACAAAAATGTTTAACTGATGAAAATTTAAATTTAGTTTAATGGAAGTTTCCTTTGAAAATCATGTTTCATAAGTACAATACATCGGATTATAAATAAATTGCTTTCCTTCATGCCTACAACGACTTAGAAATTATCCAAATTTACATATAAATACCGCATGTTTAATAGATTGATAGTGCCTTTATTTATGCCTGTGATGACAGGTTACAGTATATACCAAAATGTACTTCATGTAAATAATTTTTTTTCCTATGAAAATTCAAAATTTCAATAATTTAAAAAATTAATATTTTTACCATAGATCAATTATCACCGACGCCTGCAAAAAGGCCTACTCTATGCCCAGCGCAAAACTTGAGGGTGATACAGGTACAACTAACCCAGGGTAAAAACAACCTGTGCCTGCAACAATAATATATTATCGCTTTTACGAACATTAATCCAGAAATGGATTATGCTCTCGATCCGTAAACTGTAAAGCTTTTTAATTTGTGCGGAGGATATCTGAGAGATCAGCTCAAATTTGTGCGGAAATTTAGTAGGAAAATAGATGCACGGAATCGTAATTGTTGCATAATTGCATTGGTTATATATTAAGATTTGGTCAAAGCCTAATTTTTGGCAAAATCTATGTGGAAATCGGCCCTTATTTTCCAAAATGTGCGGACTCACTATACAATCTGGCTCTCGATAATAATTGCCAATACCTGGTTAACAGTGTGCCTAAATAAATATTAAATATAAACATTAATTATTAAACTTGTTTGTTGTATAACTAGGCTAGGGGCTTATTTATTGTTCTTATACCGTAAATGCTTGAATAAGCGCCACTCTCCAATAACTGCCGATTTGAATAAGCATTGCATCAAGCATTATTTTTTTTTCGTTAAGCGCCGTTCTCGAATAAGCGTCGCGGTGCTTAATCGATAGTTATAATTACCATGTGCGTAAAAAGGGTTTTAAATACAATGTATACAGTGTTAAAATTAATAAATAACACAATTAAGACACAAGCTTCTTTAAACGTTTATTTACGACATAGGATGTATAATAGGGCTACCGAATTATAGTTAACATGGGAACAGGCATGGAAAGTGCCACGCCAATATTTTTTTTTAAAGCACCGCTCTCGAATAAGAGCTGCCCAAAGCCTCTAAAAATTTTATAAGCACCGTGGCACTTATTTGAATATTTACGGTAGGTGGCCATTGACAATACCCTGTGTATACTCCTAGACTTGAGAATGCAGAATCTATAAATATAGGGCCAAATCTAAGGCCTAAGCTCCCTAGTCTAGGAGGCTAAACATTGCCTACCTAGGCCTACCCAAGCCTAGGGCCTACCTAGAAAGAATAGGGCCTAGGGCTAGGCCCTAGGCTAGCCTAATCTGGATCAGATGGAATGGTTTTATTATTGGTTGGCAAGCTAGGCCAAATAATAATGGAGCATAAAACAGGATTACTACCATCAGGGAGTTGTTATCCCTGCTACCATTCAGTAATTACGTAGGCAAACCTATACCTAGGACTCTGCATGTTGGTAACAACGGTTTATTCTAGCACAGGCCTACAGTAGGCCAACAACAACAGACGAGCTGCTGGCTCGGCAACAGTTCTCTTCTCCGTGAGGAGAAAACGCAAAACAACAACACACAGTAAACACTGAGCAGCTGGTGGAAGACGGAGGAGGCACCGATTTAGATGACAAATTATTCCCACCAAAATACACATAACATTACAAAAACTCACCAAAATATGTGTCTTGATTACTTCATAGATGTAGGATTACTTGAAAGGAATGCGGATGGTATATATTATGTTATCCTAGCTTTTCTTTGTCTCTACTTCTTCGGAACATTCAGCCTTTGTCCTCTTCTTTCGCTTTCTTCTTCCTGCACATTATTTTCCCTTTCCTTTCGGTTCAGTAACCTATAACCCTGTCTCTACGAGCGCCACCTACGGCACTCGCTTTAAAGTCCCTTTTCCCCAGTTTTTAAATATTCAAACATTTGTATCTCATTCACCGTTCTCCAGTTGTTTCTGTCTTAGAAAAATCAATTCTACACCATATCAAAATATTGTTTTCCTCCGGAGTCTGATGACGTTAACAGACGATTCGCTTATTATTATTCTGTAATACTGATTAGAAAGGGACTCTTAT